CAAGCTTCAAAATAAGAAAAGAAGAACAAAAGCCATATTCTCCTCATGCTCCTCCTCGCTCCCTACACGTATGATTTTACTGTAGTTCTCGCTCTGTTCTACTCTGCGCTATCGCAACCTTTCTGGATCTGATTACTATTTGACGAGACAAACCCTCCCTTCCGAGATTTGATGAGTCTGTCTCGCTCCATCCCCTCGCCCACTGGACAATAATCCAACACAAGAGTCCCATCTCAGCCGAGACCTCTCATCCGTAGAGGGCAATCTTTCCATTCCATCCCTTCTCCTGACTTTGATCGGCTCCCCGTCTCATCACCCCTTTTCAGATCCGAACTCAACGTCTCTGCCCTCCCTCTCCCCTTTTTTGAGATCTTGTAGGCGGGAAGGGGAGTCACAAACGTGAACACGCTGTCAAACTCTTTGGCCGATATATTACGACCACATCTTTCCAACCCATGGTATAACATTTGATTCTCCCTCCAGAAACACCCTTCTCACCTTAATCTAACCAGAGCTCGATAAACTCGACTCACCTCTTCCAGACAGCGAGACCTCTCCAATCTCCCCTCTTGGCTAACAAGAGTTGGGAACACCCGGAATCCATCCCTTGCCGGCCAAGTGCCCCGTCGCTCACCAGTCATCGCGACCATGATCCCTCGCCCCTGCTCCTCCCCCTTCTCATGGCCGAAAAGGGTTATATGGGTGTTCCGGCAGAGACCGAACCCGAACCCGCCTCGCCTTCCGAGCACAGCATCTCATCTCGGCTCCCACATGGAGGCGAGACCGCCCACCACTCTCACCCTGAACTGATGGGCACAGCTCCTCACAACCCCAACACCTCCTCTCAACACACGGCCTCTCTCTCAACTTCAGATGAATCCACCTCTTGTTCCACGCTGGCCCATCCAGCGAATCTAGCCTTCGCGCTTCACACACTGTCCCCAAGGTACCTCTGCCCATTGCCACTATCCCATCATGTTTAGATCTCTAGGATCCATCAGTCTAGACGAGACACGCCTAATAAGCCGCTTCCTCTCTCGGTCTCACGAGAGCTCTTAGTCTCTTAACCTACGGGAGAGGTGAGTCGACCAAGTGATCGGCTCCCCTTCTCATCGTCGCTCCCTAGGCCACTAGCCCGGCTATTGATTCCTTGATTCCATTTCCCTTTCCCAGTATCCTCCTATCCCCCATAAACAGCAGGAATTGGCCTCGTGCGTGTTGATCCCTCACACCCACCCCCTTTTTCCTCGAGTGCAAGTACAGACGCCAGAGGAAAGCACCTGCCTGCTGTTTACTCTTGCAGGAGGGCACCGAAACTACCAGGCACACACCCCTCTTCCCCGAGTTTCTTGTACGCCACCAAAAAGCGATCTCCATTCGTGTGTTCATGTCTTCAGGATGGGGATAGGGAGCAACAACCTTCACAGGCGTGAATCGAGGGCGGAATTTCCTAGATATCCCGCTACGCTCCACGGCCTATGATGGGGTTCACCTGTGCATCTAACACCTCCGATACACGCCGCCGGGTGAACAGGACTGCAGGCGGATGCACGAAGCCAACCTCTCTTCTTCTTTTTCCGTTTACCTTCCTTGTCCTAGTTCGACATTGGGAAACGCAGGGACGATCAAAAGTCCGAGAGTACCGAGCTTTGGGGAAGAAGCAAATCTAGTGAAACGGCGAGAGAGAGAGAGAGAGGGATAGAGAGAGAGCAACGGAGACGTTGAGTGGGGAGAGATGCGCACCGCCGCTCCTATTGCCCACTCTCGTGCATTTGGGCTGCGTTTATGACTTCTCCAGCCATGGAATATGCGAGCTTCTCAAGTGGCTGGCCTCTCTGCGAGACAAGCTTGGGGCCAAGGCACCTGTCCAAGAGGGCAAAAGAAGGCGGGGGAGAGGAGAACGTAAGACTTTGTCTTGTATGGAGAAAAGAAAATTGGTCATCTCGACGTGCAAATGCGTATGTGAGGTGCAAGGGAAGGAAAGGAGGGGCGTGGAACACTTGCAAGGAATTGTGCGAATCACTGCTTGGAATCTAACACCAAGACCCAGACCTTGTCTCGCCAAACACAAACACCGTCTGCCGTGCATGCCTAAAGTTGCCTGCCTGCAGCTTGCTATCTCTTTAAAAAGGTGTGGGCATGGATAGACGGAGAGACGGAGAGAGAGAAAATAATAAGTCACCTGAGGATCTGGCGGGATAGGTGAGGTCATGTCGGCGCTATTGGTTGTTGATCAGGGGTTAGAAGGCCGAGAGGAGAAGAAGAAAGAATTACGAAAAAGGAAAAAAGGCTAGGCGTGGAAGAAGACGCACAAGAATAAGAAGATGGTCAGGCCACATGGGTAGATCAACCCAGGGGCGCACTGCGGGAGGGGATTCGACGACACCTCGCACCTTGCGCTTATTGCGGCTTGCGGGGAGATAGGAGTCGAAAGAACCCCTCTAGACACAAGTTATACAACGTCTTGGATGGTCATCGTAGCCGTCGAGCGCGAGTGGAGGAGGAAGAGGGGAAGGGGTTGGAGGCAATGAGACCCATGAGACTTAGTCCACAAGGCCCCCGGTCTACGGGAACCGGCATGCTATTTTCAGCAACGACATGTAGCGGGAGCGTACACATCGCGTCGTGTCTAGAATACCGAATACCGCTACCCCTCAAGAAACGTGCGCGGATGCCCGCAACGTCGTCTATCTGCTGGGCGGGGCCTTGGTTTTTTCGTGGTTAACGGTGCTACCTCCCCGGCTGGATTTTGCTTGCTCGTGGTAGAAGGGAGGACAGGAGGACAGGAGGAACGAGAAAAACGAGTCCCCGCATGGCCACTCACCTTTTCTTTTTTCTTTGATAGTAACGTCATCCAAAGCTTATGCTCGATGAGATCACTGCTCGGACGCACTGCGTATCCAGCACTTTACTACCCCACTGTCTCCTCGTCGCGATTGCTGCGAAGGCCGTCAATCGTTCTCAGCGTCAGTGTCTCGCTACGTCGTGATCGACACTTGGACGTGTTCTTTTGCCCGCTTGGCTAGTCTCAGAAGCTAACTCGCGCAAAAGGTGGAAAGGGGAGCTCAAGCAAAACTGCCAAGTCGGGGGTGAAAGCGTACAAATGTGCTGCCACATGCAGCCTTTAGTATCAGGACAATGGTTTAGGTCGATCTCCTCATCCCTTTGGGTTCCATGTTTCTCTCCTAAGGGATTTGCTGTTCTCATAGAGCTCTAAATGAAATGACGAAACCCCTAACTCTGTGTGACGCCCATCGTTTTTCTACTCTCCATCTTTTGATACCGAAACACCTAACCGGCGATATGGCCACTCCTACGATGATCAGTGCCATCAGGCCGCCCTTCCAGAAGAGTGAATTTCTCTTCTTGCGCCTCTCGCTTGCCGATCGAAAGGTGATTGAGACCATACGCCACGCGTTGCCTCACGCTGGTGTTAGTCAACCCAACCCCTTTCCTCGGTGGGAGATCGCTTCGTAGAACACCATCTTGCTCAGACACGTCCTTTGCCCAGCCTCCTCTCAACCATATCCTCAATGGCATAACTTCGATCCGTCAGCTTCCTTCAGACCACAGGCGCTTGTCTAACTAGAAACAAATAAAACAGTCTTGTTCTTTTTTAGACCGCTTTGCCTTTCCCAGTACACGGCACAAATCTGTCCACGGCATCTTTTGGGCGGCGCCCATCTCTTCGTTCAGGGTCATCAACCCTCGCGCTTGAGAACATGTAGAGAGAAAGGAAGGGCTTCCAATCTTCCCTAACTGGTATGAGCTGTTTCCTAGAGTCCATGGGGAGGACATAGGACATCCAGGCCCGCGTCCCGCCGTGGTTCCCGATTTCCTTTACCTCGTGCTTACCGCGGCTACTTGCCCGATGGGATTTCAAGACAGCCACCCGAGACCATGTCTGTGTGACCTCTTGGGGCTCCCCCGGCAGTTCGGTGTCTTGTTGCACTGTTGTGTGTCATGAGCTCGAGGCTCGAGGCTTAGCCGCATCTATCCGCAGACGGATATCGACCCTGACCGAGCTTCGTAGGCGCTCTGGCGTTGTAAGAAGAATCAGGGGCCCAAGAATTGTCAACACTTATTCCTTGTATCGAATATATCCTCGAGTCCTCACTTTTTGTTCCATCTTCCCAGCTCGCCGGCTCCTGGAATACATCATCCAAATGTTGCTCTCTCAGCCGCATACTTCGTGCATACTCGGAAGAGAAGGAAGCCCAAGACAAGAACATCAACACTCTAAGCGTCGTTTTCATCAAAGCTAGGCGTATAAAACAAGAACCCAAATCATCCCAACCAACATGCCAAACTTGAAACTGGGTATGCCGAGCTGAAAGAGAAAAAAAGCGAGATTTAACCAAAAGAAAAAAAGTCCCGGAAGGTCATCCCAAGGTCATGTCCAAGATACACGTGAAACTCCAAGCCCAAGGCAAGGGAACCGAGCTAGAGGGGCTAAGCACCCTCGAGCGTCGCAGGTCGTCAAGCATCAGGCCTCGGAAATCTTGATATCCGCCCAGCCACATTCCTCTCCGTTCTACGCCCTCGTGTTCCTTTCCCACGACGCCCAGCCATTCCAGCGCCTCTTCCCTTAGGGTGCTATCCTGATATCCATTTACAATTTCCACAGTTGCAAAACGCCAGACCTGCAAGGCTCCACCGAAAATCGAATGATGGGCACGTCTTAACGCTGCCCATACCAAGGCATATGGGGTGGGTATGAAGGAAGCCTGAGATCGCGATGGCTAATGTGCGCGCACGCGCGCCGCATGACCAAATCGCGGTCGGCTGTTCAGAGAGGCATGGGACCGCCGTGTGCCGACGGAAGACAGCCATATATATACCATCCCAAGGCCGGCTTGTCGTAACCTCTCTATAATTCATATTCGATCCATTTGATGGCTGGGATTGGTTGCTGGCGGGGGGGCATTTCCTCCAAGACTTGAGGAGGCGACAATCCCCCATCATAGCCCCTTCCAACCGCTCCCTTCTCTGGATTGGTACTAACGCCACAAGTCTCTGTCGCCCTTCTCGCCTGCGCTACTCTTTGGCCGAGGCCATTCTTCGACATCGTCCCGGGAGGTGTCGCCATTGTCACTGGGAATAGCTAAGAAGCCTCCTGTGCCGTTTCCGACCATGACGCTGCGGCGTGCAGCGCCCGTATTCCATCCCATACCAGTGATGTCTGTTCCTAGGCCATAGCCGCTCGTGGGGCGCTGGGATTGGCTACCTCGCCTTCCTCCGCCGCCAAACCTAGACGAAGGGCCGAACCCACCGCCACCGCCGTGGATCGGCTGCACCTTGACGAAACTCCAGTCCATGCCTTCGTCGCTCTTAGTGAATACCTCTAGGGTGCGCGTCAGGGAGCCAGTACCCGCAAACGGGTTGTTAGAACTAAACCGAGATGTAGGGTCCATGTTTCGCTTTGGAGGGGAGAAGGAGAAGTTATTGTTGCTGCTCCCATAACTTTTAGGCGGTGAGAATGACTGCGAACCCCGTGCGCCATGGGAGGATGAGGGGCGCCCCCGCTAAATGGAGGTAGAGGGGGTAGGTCTATGCCGAGGAGCTGATCCGGGAACGTCGGGTCACAAACATAAACAGCTCGCAGACGTGGCAACCCTCCGGCGAGGATAGAAGATGCAAGATACGTATAATGGCTAGCTGCGGCGCTCGAGTACCCGTCGTTGGTGGCATTGCTAACCTCGTACCTGATTGTCTGTAGGCTGCGCGAGGTGATTCTCTTTAGGCCCGCACCGCTAGGGATGGCCGAATCGACGGTGTCGTGAATAGACAAGGTTTTTAGGTTGATAGCGTGCTCGAGGACATCCTGGACCCTCGTAGGCTTCACGCCGGTCCTCCACAGCGAAAGCACCCTCAACGCTGAGCCTGCATCGGGGCGGCTCAGATACTCAGCTAGACCTGCCTCGGTCACCCGAGGAGTCTTCTTGAGAATCAGCTCCAGCAGGGCGGGGAAATGAGGCAAGTTTTCGTTGAAGGCAAACACTTCGTCGGAGAAGCTCCTCATCTCCGTGATCTTGAGCGCACGGAGGTTGCCAAGCGCGCCAAGCACATGGCGCAGGATGACGGGGTCGATGTTAAGCTTAATCAGCTCCAAGACCTCGAGATTTCTCCACACATTGCCTCTTGCCAGGAGCTCGATGCTTCGCTCGGCGCCTGCTAAATAGGTCATTTTCCTTAGGTCCGCACATCGAGCCTGCACCTCTAGCCTGAGCGTAGAAAAGGAGGGGTCATCAGAAAACAACCCTTCAGGGAGGTCCACGTAGCGAAGGTTGGGCAATACGGCAATAGTGCGAGCTAGGTCGGCCTGGCAGCTTTCTCGTAGCATGTAGGGTGTCTTCAAAAGCGTACGCGCGCGCCCAAGCGGGTGGGGTCGTCTCGGAGTGTTCGGCAGAGGAGCTTGAGACGGGCGTGGGCCGTGTCTTCGGGCTCGCCGTTCCTATCGAAAAAGGTCCGGCGCTTTCGGCGCTCGGCGAGGAATGCTTCGCGCTCGCAGTAATGAACAGAATCAATGCGGATACTATGGTAGCTAAAAAGATGTCGAAGGCGGCGCCAAAAGAACGCCCCTCGCGCGGTTAGCATCTCCCAAGGCTTTACAAGGTAGCGTTTCTACACGTCTGTTGGGATAAGTAGGGAAGAAAGAGGGGCTTAACGAACGCCCTGTGAAGTCTTTCTGGGCTCGATATAGGCATTGTACGTGGGTTATAGAAAAGGTCAGGTTGGGGCTGGGAGTATCTCACAGTAATGCGCGAGCGGCGGGACGCCAGGCCTTGCAAACCTGGACACAGTGGGCAAGGTCCCTCACATCGCACAGGGAGCAGGAATCTTCGACGAAGCTTTGCTCGCACGTGTCATAGGATTCGTCGAGAGATTGCGGGCAGACAAAATAGAAGATTCGGTCGAGGGCGGCGTTGGGAAGGTGCGCGAGAGCTCTTGCGGATGCTGAGGTCGGCGGTGGGGTATTCCCTGTCCGTTGATATCGGAATTGCTCCTCAAAGTCATGAGAGGCAGAGCCGCGGCGACCAGAGAAGCCGGAGCCTCCCCAGGAATATCTAGGTGCGAGCCCTTTTTCTTGTCTTTCCTCTTGAAGAACTTCATGGTTGTGGGGGTTGAAACGGGAGAATTGCGAGACCTCGTCTTCGGCACCCTCCAGAGAAAATGGTTGGAATGGGGAAATCCTCCCCGGCCAAAAAAAAAAGAGGGGACCTCAAGGCTAGGCCACAGGACAACCAGATCGAAATTAAGTAATTGGGCACAGCTGACACAACCCCTCAATGAATCCGCCCCCGAAAAGCATCGGTGATGGCAAGAGAATAGGTAGGGGTGCTCTGCGGGTTGAGGGCTGTTCTGAGTCGCTGCAATGTCGTGCACCCAGCCAGTATCCTGCAGCTGATTATAATTGTTGACGGGAAGACAAGAGGAGGAGGAGGAGGGGGAGGGGGTGGGGAATCGCAAATGCTCTTCGGTAACTTTTGAGCTATAATTCTGAATGTGGCGGTGGTCGCGCGGCCGCTGGTCTGGTGCAGGGTTCGATGACGGAGTTGTCCGCAGCTGAGGTTGGATTCCTTTCATAGGATGGCGCGCAGCGTCGCAGTGGAGAAAAAGACAGGATGGATTCTGAAATTTAGGGACCCTTTGCCCCCATCGATCGTCCTCTCCACTATCTCTTAATGGATGGATTGATGGATGATTACAATAATGGACACGAAGCAAGGAGAAGATGCTTTGAGAAGTTGATGGTGCACGGTCAAGGTCAGCACTAGCAGGACAGGTTGCAGTTGAGTAAAATTCGTGCTTGTGCTTTCGTGCTAGCGCAAAGATCCAACGGATTCATTCAATGAATCCATAGAGATGGATGGATGAATAGATCAATTGATGTCAGCGGCTTTTCTTTGTGTGATGAAAGGCTAGATTGAAAGGTAAATGGATCCTAACCTAGTAGGTAAGTATTTTGCCCCTAGCCTTTATGTCAGGTGCGATTGCCCGCGCAACTTGAATACTGTCCATGTCCACTTGTTCTTACAAATTGATCTATTCGAATTCGTCCAAACAATGTTTGACGCCGCTTTCCTCACGCGAGATGGTCTTCGTCGGGTGCCAAGCGATGACGAGGTACAAGTTTCACCAACGAGGACTGAGCAGGGGTGTTGGGTGGGTCGGGAGGCGGGGGTTACTTGGGAGGACGAAGAGCATCAAATGGTTCCGGTGTTTGCTAACCCCGACGCGCGAGGGAGGTGGTGGGAAATAAGGACGCCGTCGCCGTCGCCGTAGAGGCCTAGAGGGTTGGCCGGAAAATCAAAAGAAGAAACAGGCCAATGGATCCTACTTGTAATATTCTTCATGAAAGCCAATCAATCATCCACTGCAGATTTAGTTCGGGCCGTTGGTGGTTGACGTTGACAACCATCTAAAGATCGAAGAAGCCATGATGACAGGCAGCTCCTGGCTTGTCGGCGGCACTTTCCCTCCCAGAAAGCTCCCCGGAACAATTTTGCTACCCTATAATTATCTTCCCCGCAGGTACTTCCTTCCTGTTCTCCATATCTATTATTACCAGCTTAGCTCTTTCTTCAGGTATTAGAACTCTCCGCTTTCCGTTCCTTGAGCGTTGAGCGCGCCCCCGGCCCCGGAAGGAACTGCCCGGCCGCGTCACATTCTTGACGGGTCGTGTTCGAGCAAAAAGGCACGACCCCTTCAATTTAAGCATCAGGCTCCATTGAGAGCGTGTGTTCCCTGTCACAATCATAATATAACTTCACTTTCTCCCTTCTTGACTGTCGCAGTGGCACGACGAATACCCGATGAAATGAATATTTTCTCAACTCAAGTGTACCTCTCAAGGTTTGTCTCACGATCAACGCTCATCTCCTTGCCCAAAATGGAAACGCCAGCCTTCGCCTCTCTCGTCATCGACGGCCAATCTCCTTACTTTTGAGAAAATGTTTTTGTTGCATCTGTCTCAACATGCGTATTTCACGTGATGGAGAATATTTCAACTAGAAGCTTTCCATCGCCTTGACATTTCCCTTCCCCGCTCCTCCTTGTGTTCCGACTGTAAGTGTAACTGTGGCTGATGGTTTGCTTTCTCCATGTGGTCTCAGGTGTCTTGGTGAAATCTATGAATTGCTGATAAACCTTCGAAGCACGAGATCAGTAGATGGGTTGGTGACGACCTGCAAATCCCCCATATGTATAAGTATTTTTATCGATCCTTGCTTCTTCATCATACCATAGTGTTCTGTACCATAATGTGCTGGATCAAGGCAAGGCACAAGTATACGATGCGCAATATCACTGAGAACCCCAAAATGTCGTAATTTGTATCGATATATCTGGTGAAAACCTACCTATGATGGCACCGAATAGGTCCTCCCACTTCCATTCTCTTCCTATCGGCCACCAAACCCTCATCACCTCCTCAGTTTCCTACACAGGTAGCACAGACCAAACGAGAAAAGACATAATAGAGAACCTGACTCCATAGAAATGAAAACTAAAGAAGATAGGAACGAGAGAAAGCAAGATAAGAGAACCAAAAGCGAAAGAGGCGAGCGCAGTGAGCCAAGGAGCGAAAGCCAGCATGGCCATGCCCATGCATGCAGAAATGACGATATTTGTGAGCAAGTGAGTCTCTCTGAGATGCGATGAAAGTAAAATAATGCAAGTCTGTGCCCTTGGGGCCTCCGCGATGATAAAATTACCAAGGTAACCTAAATGGGCCTTGTGACAACACACACACACACACACACACACCTTTCCCAACCTTCCGTCACCACTTCCAAGCGGCAACGGGCCAGCGGGTTCCCAATCTTCTGCTTCTCTTCTTTTGTTCCTTTATTTCCCTTTCCAAGCCCGCATTACCGCGTCTGTCTTTTCCGTTGGGCCATATTTCGCAGTATATACTGATAAGAAGAGACAAGAAGAGACTAGGCTATTCTTCTGTTCAACTCAACAAAGTCCGTATTATGGTTTGTCTCGCCACCAACCACAGCTTTATTAATCGTTGTGGTCGTCGACAGCATTCACCTTCGGTGTGTCTACTGGACTCGCGGGACCTGAAGGCTTCGGTCGAACCGCCACTGAAAAGTCGTGGTCGTACTCGTCCTCATGTTCGTCCCTATCAAATCATGACATGTGTTAGTCGCAAGCGGACTCGGATATTTACAGTAGTTAAAGTGAAAGGAGGGGCGCGCAAAAAAAAAAAAAAAAAAAAGGCAAGGACAAACAAAACTTACTGAAGCTTCCAAGCGATATAATCCTCCGTGCTCAAGCCTTCCCTGCCTTCTTGAAGACTAGCAAAGTCGCCGGGGTCATCGTGCCCTTGCGAGCACCGGGAGAGCCGGGAACAGAGAAAGGCCTGCCAATCTTCTGCTTCACGCCGGGGACCCAGTCCCAGACGACGTCGTCCTCGGAAAACTCGTTAGGATAAGCGCGCCTGAGAGCAAGTTGGCGGGCCTTGCTATACTCGAGTCCCATCCTTCTCCAATCGAGGAGATCGCTGAGCCTCTCGGTGCGATTCCTCTGGTTGATGCGCTCTCGGCGACTCTTGAGGCAGTACTCAAACATGAAGTCGGTCATTTGATTCACCGAGTCGTCGACGCCCTTCATGCGACGATCAACGATAAAGATGCCGTACTCGGGGCCGCAGTCCAGGAGCTCTTCCATGTAGCAGCCAAAGCCGGAAAGGTTGGTGGTGATGCTAGGCACGCCCATGACGGTACACTCGGCCGGGGTGTAGCCCCAGGGCTCGTAGTAGGAGGGGAAGACGCCCATGTGGGTGCCGCGAACGAATTCATCGTAGTCGAGGGGAGGACGGGGTTGGAAGAGTTGAGGAACTCGGGGTGGAAAACGACCTTGACCCGATCCTCGCGGTCATTGAAAAGTTTGACACGACGGAGCTGGTTCAGGATGGGGTCTTCGTGGTCGTTGACCATGTTGTGGGTGACGATGGGAGGAAGGGCCGAGCGCTTCATGCTGAACAGGCGCCTTCGAAGGTCAACCTTTTCTTGGTTCGTAAGAAGGTCCTTCTCCTCGGGGAGGAGTCGCCGTCGTGCCATCGGAGGGCACGCTCGTACAGGCGCTTGCCGATGTTGCGCTCGATGACGCTGACGGCTTCCCGCAAAGATTTGATGACGGCCTGTCCCTTGAGCGACTCCGCGGTAAGATGGGTAGTCTGGGCGGGCATGATGATGAAGGCTACTACAGTGAGGTTGCTTCCCGCAGCCTTGAGGCGGTGGTTGAGGCGGGCCAGGGACTCGATGAACATGTCCACGCCCTTATTCCTGAACTCGTAACGACCGGCGGTGAAGAAGTAGAGGGTGTTGTCGAGATCGAAGTCAAGGTGACCGTAGAAATGGCCTCGCACAAAGTCGTGGAGCTTTTCCTTAGAAGCCTGGTGTAGGTTCTGGAATTCGTGGGCGGCGGCGAACTTGGTCACGTTGAGGCCGTTGGGCAGGACGCCGTCGGGCTTCCTCTTGAGAAGGTGCTCGCTCTCATAGGCGGTAATGTGGGAGACTGTGGTGAAGACGTCGGAAGAGTGCGCCGAGGCCCTTTCAATGCAGTACCTGTGGTAGATGCCGCGCTTGCCAGCCTCGTGGTCCACATCGAACCACTGGAGGTGGTTGTAAAAATCGACCGAGCCTGCGCAAAGGTAGCGGCCGAGAATGGTGGCGTGTGTAGTAAAGACGGTGGTCACATCGATCTTGCGCGCCTTGCACAGAGGAGGGCAACACCAGCCAGCCACTCGTGGAAGTGGGCAATTACAGCCGTTTTCTTCTCATGACAGACAAACTCTCCCAGGAACCACGCTACGAGGTAGCCAAAGACGATAGCCTCATTAGTCTCATGATCATCGGGAGGAGAGGGGATACCGGCGACATCCCAGAGGTCACGCTTCCACTCATCCAGCCACTTGTAGCCAGTGGAAGTGTCGATCAAGATGACGCGGGGAGCACCTTCGACAAGCCATCGGCCGTAGACAATGTCAACACCACGCTCCTTCATCGAGTCTATCGTGGCTTTGATCTCGGGCGATGTGGGCTCAATCTCTTCAACCTCAACAGCGGCCTGGCGGGTAGAGCATCAGTCAGTTCGCGTTGCGTCTAAAACGGCCCAAACTAGCTCTAGCGGTTAGAAGGAAGTGGGGGTCTAGCTTACGGATCGTCGGTTCAGAGGACCGATTAACGTATATCGGTCACCATATTCGAGGGTGGTGACAGGAGCCTTGGACTTGAGAACGGAGTAGATACCACCAACTGTTTGTTTTTCAGTATTAGAAAGTTGCGCTTTGCTTGCTGCTCACTTCAACCTGAGGGAGAGCAGCCTATCTACACCTCACATACCTCGGTTTGCAACTTCGGTGGCAATCTCAAAGAGAAGGTGGTTATGCATGTCGCGGGTAGTGGTGCCCCGGGCGACCGCATCTCCATGCTGAGTAGGAGCCGACATTTTGGTCTGCTGCTAGTCCCCCAAGACACAGTTTTTGGGAGAGAGAGAGCACGAACGAGGATGCTTCTGAAAGTGTGAGAGAGACTGATGCTCGGTAAGTTAGGATAGAAGAAATATTCAAGAATTCTTTTGCTTCGATGGATCGAATCGGATTCCGAGGGTTCGAATTCGTTCGAAGAGGAAAAACAGGTGATCTAGGGTCGAGGAAGCAGAGGGGAAAAATAGAGGCTCGCGTCAGCTTAAGAACGGCAGAGGTACTTGAGTGAGGGAGGCGGGCATGGTCGCATTTCACTGACGTCAACATGCTCGAGGTGGGAGGGATAATTGAGCAGACTGAGTGGTTGGATAAAAAGCGAACAGTGCGGGCGAGAGTTCGGAATGCGATGCGGCAGGGGATGCTCGTGTAATAGATTGGAAGGGAGGGGAGCTCTGGTCAATACTCACTAGCAATTGGCCTGTGGGAAGCTTGGATTGGAAAGCGGGTCGACGATGCACCCGGCTCGAGAGGGCAGGGGAGGAGCGATGGAGCTATGGGGCGAGGGGTCGAGGAGCTCCCAACTAGCAAGGTCTAGGTCGGTGACGAGCAAGGAACCACAGGGGCGAGAAGAGTTTGCTAGTCGGAATCCACGCGCAAAGAAAGAAGATAGAGGAGTATAGCGGAGATCGTGTCAAGGGGGGAAAAAAAAAGAAGAAGGATAAAGAGGCGAGAGAGAAGACGGGAGCGGGCTGAGACAGAGAAAAGTTGGACGAGAGAAAATTACAACGGCGATGCAGGAATGGCAGGCGGGATTCAGATTCAAATGCGCATGCAACCCAAGAGTACAGGGCTGCTCCTTATGTTGGTTCGAGAGAGAGGAAAAAGAAAAAAGAGGGATGCGAGACAGTTCGGAGGAGGTGGTGAGAGAAAGAGGCGGGCTTGCTTTTATCGAGGAAGAGGAAGCTCAAGTCAGGGAAAGCTCCTGGCCGCTATCGGGAATAGATTAGGGATGCGCGAAAGAGGTGACACGGGATTGGAGGGGGCGGAGAAGGCGAGCAGAGGCGGCGGTCAACCGAAGAGCGGGAGGAGGGACAAGATCGAGTCACAGTTCAGTAGAGGTGTCGGGTTGGAGGGATGGTATATATTTTTATACAACCGAGCGGCGGGAGTACGACCGGGACCTCATTTTACTAGTGGCAACAAGTGCTTGCCTGCCTGCATCATCACGATGGGATCTGGTGCTGGCTGAAAGACGGCGTCTTGGACCAGGAGCTTACTATGGGCTACCAAGAGGAAAGCTATCTCGGCCCCGCCCCATGGAGAGTGGATGATGGAGGAGACCCAAGCGGCTTTTTTTTTTCTTCTTTGGCTCGATACTAGCGGACATGCCACTGGAGGGGCGCTGCGGAGGAGAAGGGGGTGTGCAATGGCTGAGACAATGGATGTGGGTATCAATTCAAAGTTCGTCAACTTTTTTCCTCTTTTGGAAGCTCTGCACCTTATTCTTCTCCCAGAGCTGGGCTCCCCGGGGCTTCCTGGGAAACACCAAACGCCAAGAGATCAATTCATGGTGTGATGCGATTCAAACCGATCCATTTCATTGCTCGACGTTCCGCGGTGCGGTACAGAGTACACGCGAACACCCGCAAGCCTGGAAGAGAAACATGTGGAAACCTCCTCATGATGCTCAGAGCCAACAGGGGTTAACTCATGTAGAAGATACAGCTCTGGAGGATCACTAAACCCAATGCGGACAGGTCGGCGTAGGGCAGTGGCGAGGCCTGTCCGGTATTACGCTCCGTCGCCCGTACGTACCCTCATGTTCCTGCCAGTGATGGAAACCCCACCCAAGCGAGCTTACAAGGATGCAGCTCTCAAGGGGAACTAACCGCCATCGGCAAACAAAGCGCAGATAACGATAAGAGCTTGAGAGAGATAAGTTTTTGCGCAGTACGTGTGCCTTTTGAAAGACTCTCTAGTTTGAGAATGGAGAAGGGGAAAATGAAGATAGAGAGAGAGAGAGGCTATGGAGAGATTTTCCCGGAGAGACTTGGTTGAAGCTTGATTTTCGTTGGATCTGGCAACCTTGTTCACGATGGCTTCACTACTTGGATGGTGTCTTGGGTTCCGCCCGTTCTGTCTCTGCTAAATAACCAGGCTCCGAAAATAAGCCCAGCCTACGCAATTTTTCTTCTTCTTGAGTCGCCGGCCTCGGGGCATTATTTCCTAGCCCTTCCTTTCCCAACTCAGCATTTGCCATTGCCACTCCCTCGTACCGAGCTTGCCGGTCATCCTTCAGTATACTCCCCAATACTCCCGACTCCAAGCGCTGGCAGGGCCCAACTGTTCTCAGGTTTGACGATGCATTGGGATCGCTCCCGCCTTCAGGAGTGAGAGAGACCGCGCGTTATTGTCCTGGGCTATTCCAATCCCGCATCAACCTAATAATATACTTCGTACTTATTCTCGAGCAAGTGTATTGGTGTCGTTGATCCAAGGCCCGCATTTCTCCTTTCGCGTCTAGTCGATGGAGCCAGAGGCAATGCATTGACATGGAAAGATTGTTGAAGGCTCCACTCTCCGCCCCTGTTCTCCCGACGAATTGATCTGTTGGAGCTAAAATGGAAGAAGACCCTCAACGGTTACGGCAAGTTTTGATATAATGGGGTTGGTGTACCTGGGTATTATCTGCAAGACTCAGAGAACTCGGAAGGGGGGCATTGACCCATCGAACGAGAAGCGCGGATAGCTCAAGGCACCACAAGGTTTTGTTTCCCACCCTCAGCGGCGCGCAATGCATGTCATTACGATAACACCACCAGGGAGTCATATCCCGAGATTACATGCGTCACCCTTCCTCTCTGCCAATGTCCATCTATCTGTCGGCATGGCGACACAGCTGCAACGACGAGCTTTTTTGCGTGATAGGCGAGGGAGCAGACAGCCGGAAAGCTCCCCTTCCGAATCGAGGAGGAAAAAGTTAGTTGACTCTTTTTAGCTTTTCTCCAGAAATTCTTTTTCTTTGGACTAAAAAGAATGCATCGAGGTCGTCCTGGAGCCTAGGACCTGTAGTGTAAATGTAAAATGCTTACCTCTAGTGCATTGTTGGGGTCAGTTGATCTGAGTGCGGCCTGAGCTTCTCGTACCTCGCTAGGCTTGCTCCGAGAGCTTTGGGACTAGGATCAACTAACCCAAGTGCCAAACCTAGCGTCATCGCTTGGCGGCGTTACCATGGCCACGCACCTCAACCTGGTGGATTGTGCGTCTTCAACAGGCCATCAATTGGCCAGCCATGGACGACATTCTCAGATCGAGCCCCGAATCGAAGACAGCTTGCGGCACCGGGCCTCCTCGTCAAAGGATTGACATTGATCAAGGTAATGATCATCAAGTAGGCTCACTACTCACATCGCCCGTCTTGCCCGTCCCCTACCAATTTCTCGGCGAATTTGTCAAGGAAAGTGCGAGTTGCGTCGTTTCCTTTGAACGTGGTCCTACACAATATTACTTCGTGTAACTGTTCTACATTGTTGCACTAGCTTCCCATCATCATCCGCGCCGTTGCGACTTCCCAACTCAGGGACCCAAGACCAGCCCACATGCTCCATCACAGACATCGATGCAGCTCATGTAGCATCTGGAGCCTGGCAAGATAGTTCCGGTCGAGACCTTTGCGCCTTCCATGTCTCGTTTCCGATAACCGTGCGGGTGAGGAAGGAAGGAAAAATTTTGACGTTGGATCTCGGTCGATTGTCTTTTTTCTTCTTCTCCATTTTGCCTCCTCTATCCCTAATCCGGTCCAAGAGATGCAATGAATACGCAATTAGGATGTCGATGACATGCACACGGTTTAGAGGGCCGAGAAAATGGAACGTTGGAAGTTCCTCACCATTCATCATCCCATTGTCCCGAACCATCGTTTTTTCGATCCCAACAAAAAAGGAAAGAAAAAACCATTAGGAGAGGGAAGTTAAAATACTCCGAAGCGGGATGGAGGCGCAGGGGATTCACATTCGCTTTAGCGAAGTCTAGTCTCCCGTGCGTAGACGCCCTTCATATTAGCCTTGACGGGAGACCCAAGGGAAGCGGTTTTGGGTCTAGCTGACAGGCGAAAGTAACAAAGGAGGAGAAAGATTTTTTTGTAAAGAAAACCATCGTCCTAACGGACCAATCCGAGCTGTTTCAATCCCCATCCGCAACCTGCCGGCTTTCACCGAAGTCGACCCAAAGGGCAGCCCTTTGCGTCTTACCCAAAGTGCAGAGGTCTAGAAAAGATCAACGACCAAGGATGCGAAAAGCGCACACGAGTTACTCACTCCCCAGTCATTATGCATGGAGGCGAGTACGAGGTTGGGCATGACGCGAAGCGCACTTCTCTTCTTTCCCACATCGTTTGAAAGCCTTTGGCATTCCCTTTGAGGTAACGGTATCTCCGAGTCCCACACATCTGCTGAGAGGGGAGGGAATGCATGCAGGCGGACTTCTTGACCGAGTACTTGGTGGTACTGCTTGTATTAAGGAACCGCACACTTCGAGGCTCATCGATGGATCTTTTATCCTCGTTCCCAGGGCCTGTCGCAGCGAGCCATCCCGGAGGCTAGGCTATTGCTCTATGTCCCTCAACTTCCGCTTCAGCCAGCTGGCTTATCTTGATTCAAGCTAGGAACAGAATACCCTGCAAGCTACCCTGTCCGGGTGGTAGGGATCTATCTCGGAGGCTCTTGCGCCATCCTCCAAATGGTTACATTTCTGGCTGACCTTGTTCGACGAGACCAGCATTTGGGCGCTGACCGGGTGGATGCGTCTGGTTTCAGAAGCGATTACTTGTGCAAGGCGTTCCCTAGAAATCCTTAGCAGCCGCCGCACTAAGCTGGGTTTCAACCCCTGTTTGGGCTATTCTCAACTCAACCCCAGCGTTTTGAGCCCCCACCCAAAGCACAAAAACGAGTTCAGTCCATGGTGACTCTCAAAGACACGAATATGAACACAATATTTCCGAGGAACCGGGCAACGGCTGTACTGATATTACCACTGTTCTCAAACAGGAGGGTATGTGTTAATATGCCAGATATACGAATGAGTACCTCGGTAGGCAGAGAAAATAGAGCACAAAAGAAACAAAAAGGAAGCCGAGGACCCTCTATTCTGAAGTGCAATCTGATCTTTCTTGACATCTTGACTCATCGAGACCCCATGATGCGTGTAGAGCTCAAATTGACGCTTGAGAACGTACAAGACACATACATGTAGTGGTTTATCTAGACTCTGGGATCTGTGCTGCAGCCTCTTCGGAGCTCTAGACGATGATGCGACGAGCTTTTCAGCAACGCCTGTCCATGAAGTAGGACCTCACTGCTACGCCATGCAACGATACCAGTATCGATGGATGCCAGCGAGCTCTCTGCAAACCCCCCCAATAAGAAAAGGACTTCCTCATTTGAATTTTATTTCACCTCTTGTATTGAGAAGTATGAGACATAACGAGAGAAAATAGTTCTTTGTGGCCTCGGACTAATCTCAGCATGAAGATTTGCGAAAGCCTAGACTCAGCCAACTGGCATTCTTATTAGGCCGACCGAGAGTTTACTACAATGGCGGAAAAGGACCCAATCATAGCTGCCGACGAGAAACAGAGAAAAACCTTCATGTCCTAGGTACAACCTAATGGCCTTAAGGCACTGCATAAGTTGTGGGACTAAGCGCGAGGGCTTGACTCTCTTTACGAGGAGTCAGCCAGGGTATTCTGGAGGACAAGGCTCGGCCGTAAGGCCACGATACCGGTGTCTATGTTTGGCGCTCACCACGCTCGTGGCTCGAAGTGGATATAAGGCTACCCACCCACTAAAGCGGCGTTGCTTTTTCGAGGGAAAACAGTAGGTGGACGCGACTCTTCGCAGTTGCTTGGCCGGGGCCGGATGCTCCTATTCTTGGGGGCTTAAACTGCAATGTTCCAACCGCTTCGCAGCGAAAGTTTTAACATGGCGAAATACGACTAATCCAGGCACAAGACACTTGCGTGACGATCAAGTTTGAACGGCGCCTTTTCACCTCTCTCTCTTTCTCGACTAGAGCTTATCCTACGTTCCTGGCCCTGAGTTTGAACTAGTGCACAGAAGCGCCACTCCATAAATCGGCGATAATCAGTCCTAGGGTATAAGCGAAGGCAAGAAGGGCACTCATGTTCCCTCTTAGTGTTGGGTCATACCTAATACTAGGTGCATCCCACATTTTTCTAATAGCGGAGACAGAGGTGTGGAAACACCGCGTTCCTGCGGCTGTCTCAGCCCCGGACGGCCGAAAGCAAAAAGAAAAAAACAAAGTCCGGCGCCAACTTCTGCTCCCGCTACAGCCCCACCCCCATGACGACAGCTTCGGTCATGTTGCACACCCTTTGCCTCGAGTTACATCTGTGTGGGTGAAGCCGTCCACAAGAACTGTGGAGGGGGAAATTGGCGGAGGGAGGGAGGTATCAAGGGATGGGAAGCACAAGCTGTTCCAGCCCCATCTTGACAGTCGGAGAGATATTGGGGTGAGTCTGCCAGATTGTCACTCTTGTTATGTCAAACAAGTCACCAAAGAAAGAAGAATGTTTCTGCACAACCCTTCACTATTCTACCTTTTGTTCGACTTATGTGTTTCTTTCAGCCACAGAGGCTGTGCTGTTTTTGTGGGCACAATGCACACGTTTCAAACCTGGCTTGACTAACAAGGCATCTGGGCAACAATGGCGGGTTGACAACAAAGGATCGTGAGGTGTATGAAGGAAAGAGTATAAAGTAAGAGGGAAGGGTGATGTCCATTATACTAGGTGTGACCATGATAGGCTCTTTGCTGGACGGCTAAGAAGAAGCCTCTAGACGTCCACAATGGCTTCATTGCTAAGGCAGCTGTTTTGTTTCCCAATACTGATATAATCGACGGAATCTCGCAATCTCAGATACAGGCGCGGTAGATGATGGCACACAAAGTTGGCAATGCTGTCACCCACGATTTATGACGAACGGAGTGGCAAACGCTAGGGAATAGATTCACGAGCTTCACGAGCCGGTTTGCGACGAACCCGCTCTATTAAACACGAGCCCCTTGTTGCACATCTTAGGACGGGGAAGAAGAAGAACCAATCGACTATGGGGAGGAAACGGGCATATCGTGATGACGGGCGCGGTAACTTTACCCACGAAAATGCTTTTCAGACCAGCAGTCGACGCCATCCCTACCAACAAGATAGAAGTCGTGGAGTTAGCAAAAGGAAGCTCAACAATCGCCATGATGACAGAAGGAGGGAAGTGGGATACGATGGCGATGCGTGCTTATCTGAGGCAGGAAACAGCGAGCACGAATACCTCAACTATCCAGTTCGCGCTCGCCGCAGGCAACAGACCCACAGAGTGCCCTCTTATAGGCACGGAAGCCACCTCAGCGGCCAAGATATGGAGGGGGCGTTCCATCCCACCCCAGAGCATGGAAACGAGCCCATGCCGTCTCACCCACTCTCCAGCCGCCGCTCTCGCCCACCCAAGCCGTTGGCTTCTGCCTGCCCGATCCAGCGGCGTACTCTTCCTTTACGCCGTTCCTGCTCGCCGCGCGATCTGTCGTCCCTTCGTTCGACGCCGCATTCGGCATCTCGGACATGGAGACGCTCCTCGCCGGCACCTTTGACCACGCGGGGACCGACGACTCGCAGGCGCCGGCGTGCCGCGATGCCGAAAACGACGTGCTCATGCACGGGTACGCGTGCGGGTGCTGCACCGATGACGCGCCCTTTTTCCGGGAGTGCGGGGCCACGCCCTGGCGTGCGGGCATGCGCGGCGTGTGCTTGGCGCCCTGGCCTTCAAGTCTTACGTTTGGAGCCGCCTGTGGAGCGACCCGGCATCCAGAGTGCTGCTGGGAAAAGCGGTGAACCGGGTGTTGGCGGCGCGTTTGAGGAGAGCGGCGGGGCGCCGCAGCTGGCGTGGAATGGGGCCCAAGGCACCAGGCGGGTGAAGGGAGATGGGCTCTGGGGTGGGATCAACGTCGATGCTGCACTCGATGCGCTGGTTGGGAGCTGAGCTGACAAAAGAGAGGTGGGAGGGGGCGTTACTCGTAGTTTCCGCTATGCTCTTGGGGTAAAAGCTGTGCACATCTCGTTAGGCTCCTAGTAAGTTCCCCGGGAAGTGAGCTTGAAGCGGTGATTCCAAGGGCCGGGATGTCAAGTTTTAAAAGTTGGTATGGGCCGGAGCTGGCGCTCCGCTCTTGGTGTCCTACGCGCAGCGGTGATAGCCGACCGAGAATCAAAGCGTGGCTCGGATTCGTTGCCCAGCTCTAAAGAGGGTTATTGTGTTGACATGGCAATCTAGACCGAGTGTCTAGACCGAAGCATGGAGAGTTTACCTCGGCACAAAGGTAAGGAATCCTATTCTCCCCTCTCCGCCCCCATTTGAAAAAAAGATACTTGATGTGCACCTGGGGACAACACGGTGTTGTATGATAGAGATTGCTTTGCTTCTTATGTGCTGTGCTGCCTATGGAAAAGAAAAGAGAAAACAAGCAGAAGGGGCGTGGCAAACGAACGAGAACCATATGGAACGACAGGATGAGCCGCCGGGCATTGTGCGTTTGCGTGTATGATGAGTGTGAGATGAAGGAAAGATTAATAAAAAATACGTTGGTTTCCCCGCTACCGATGCTGGACTGAAAAGTAATCAAGAAACTCCCGGGAAAAAAAGGTTGGTACAGCGGAATAGGGGTTACAAGAGAAGGATTGGGGTTCGAAAAGAGCGAAGAAAAAGAAAAAGAAGCCAGAGGTTTATGAAGAGATTGTGAAGTCGCGCCATCATCATCTAACCATTTGGTAAGCTTCCAACCACCGACCCACCACGATTACTTTCCCTCTGTTTGTTCTCGTGACGCCCTTCCATACCCGCCCCCTATTTCCCTTCCCTTTCTTTTCTCTTCTAGTGTTGACTATCCCTTCGCTGCGGTTGTTGGGCCTGACCCTGAGGCCCGGTCCCGGAACCCGCCTGGCTCGGGGGTCCCTGGATCTGAACGCCCTCGCTGAGGAGCCTCTGGGCAGCGTCGCCGGCGGTTCGTAGGTTGATGGCGCCGATGCGGGAGACGATGCTGTCGCCCACGGCGTCGACGGCGCCGCGGGGCGAAGTAAGCGAGGGGCCGGACCGGGCCGTCTCCTGGACACGGAACAGCTTGATAAGGGTGCCGTTCCAGACGCCCACGGTGCCTTTGGCGGGCTGCATCTCGGCGCTGAAGACGAAGCCCCAGAGGAGAGACTCGTACCACGCCAGGGACAGCTGCGACCACTCAAAGGTGTGCACGCGGATGGGCGTGGGCTCGACGCCGATGGGATCAATCTCCGAGATGCGGGACAGTGTCTCGCGCGAGGCGTGATCGGGCGCGAGGGCCTGGCGGGGTAGGAGGGCCGTGAGCTGTTGGATCACGGTGAGCATGGTGTGCAGGGGCAGCTCGGGGAGCCAGCTGTCGATCCACGAGGCCGTGGCCTGGAATCCGCTGCCGTCGACTTGCGCAACCGAGACCGAGGCCCGGTGGCCTTCGAGGCTCGTGGTGCTGTTCTGCCGCGAAAAGGTCGGGAATCCGGCGGGCATCTTGCCACGGGCCTTTTCCGACATGCCGCGAAGCTGGGTCGGCACCGCGTCGCCAACGTCAACGGCCGACGAGGCCTGCGAGGGATTCTCGCTCGTCGTGGACTGCGCAGGCGTTGGCTGGGGATGGTCATCGTCGTCGTCGCTCTCATCATCGTCGTCACCTATGGCAAAGGTATCGGACTCATCGTGCGCTTCGCTGGCCGCGGGAGACATTGGATGGGATGCTGGGTGACTCTGGACGCTATCCATGGAGCTGCGGATTGATTCCTGATGCTCGCCGCTCTCGGCAGCTTCCTTCCTCCGCCGATTTCGTCGCTCGATATCTTCTTGTCCGGTCTCGAGGGTAAGCGCCCGCAGCGCCTCCACCTTTTTCCGGTTCTTCAGTACCGCAAATACAAAGGCGGGGTTTTCTGTAACCACGGTGTTAGCTTGTGTACCAGTTTAAGTTTCGTCGCTTAAGGGGCTGTATTTAACTCACTCTTGTACTGGTGTTCGAGGATGGCGTTCATCGCCTCGAGCAGCGAATGTAGCAGGCTGTGATTCGAGTCGTTGGCAAGCAAGAACGATGGCGACGACATGGACGAGAAGAGCTGCATGAGTTTAGAGCACGATGCGGCGCTGAGATTCTCGAGGTAAGCCGCGATATTGTTGATGACGGCTACCAGCGCGGGATATATGGCCGTTAGCTTGCCCTGGCTTCCGGTGATGAGGTTGTAGATGGACTACGGGTTGCGCGTTAGTGGGTAGGCTCAAAACCTCCGGTGATAAGCCCGGTAGAAGAAGGATACGTACGTGAATGAGGAAGTCGGCATAGGATCCGCTGAACCCAGGGATGCGTATAGAGGGGGCAGCGTCTCCTGCGTGTCGAAGTGCTTGTTGAGATTGACGCCAAAGTTCTTTTCGACGCTGAGCGTCTGGAGCAGGAACGCGCACATGCGCACCACACCCTGCTTCGAGGCGTCGGACTTGAACTCGAGAGCATGGAAGACGGCGAGTATGACAAAATCGTAGACGCGATCCGTGTCGATAATGAAGGACCGGAAGCGCTTGTTGCACTGAGTGATTTCCCAAAACAGCATAATCATCTCGGGCACCAGGGTCCCGGTCGATTGCGTACCCGCCGGGATGTACGACGTCTTTTCTTGCATGGGCTGCTGGAGGACCCTCATCATTCCGTCGACAATGAACTGGAAATCCTGGGCTCGGTGCAGCCCGAGGAAATGTCTGTAGTAGTTGCGCTTCGGCCCGCTCTCCTGGTCCTCAGGGATCGGATATAAGAGGAGGACTAGGATGAGTTGGAGCGTGTAGGTGACGAGCACCTGCTTGGCATCCTTTAATATGAGCGCATTGTAGGGCACCTTCCAGCTGGCGGGGTTGTACTTGAGGGACTATTGTATTGCGTGGCAAGGCGTTAGCGAGATCGATTGATACTCAAGAACCCCCACCGCCTCCTTCGGGCTCTCCCGGGCGACACCAATTCCGGAGCCGACGTGGAAACCTACCGTGTTTAGAAGAGAGCAGAGAACCGACAGCACGACCTGCTTATCGGGACACGTACACAGGTGCGTGAGGACCCTGACGCCCTTTTGCGGCAGCACCCCGGCGCCATGTACATGCTCTTGCCCGCCATGGTCAGCAGCAGCCGCAGTATCTCGGCGCGGTTGCTCTCGAACTCCTTGGTGGTGGCCACCGACGTGTTGCACCCGACGCCGCTCTGCCAGATGGCGTAGGTGACCTTGGGCTTCCCGTGGGGCTGCCTGGGCAGCGTCAGGCCGGAGAAGAACATGAGATCCACAAGAGTCTCGACGAGCTCCTCGGCCAGCGGGCGCGCCTCCTCAAACTCATCGAGCTTGGGCCGCGGGCTCGTGATGCCGTCGACGCCGTCAAAGAGCACCTCGTTGGCGAGGGCGGACTTGCGCGTGCGCTTGCGGCGCGTGCCCCAGAAGAAGCGCTCCTCCCACTGCTGCAAGGCCTCGGCCTCATAGAGGTAGGGGAGCAGGCGGGTCAGCACCCGGATGCAGTTGAGGGCGTCGCGGTCCGGGGCGAACTCGGGATCGGGGAAGGAGGGATGGTGGCGGAGGATAAAGAGGCGCGAGGTCACGGCCAGGATGAGGGTTTCGAGGTTCTCGAGCGCCTTGTCGCGGGTTCGGCGGATATCCGTCGCGGAGAAGAGGCTAAAGACATCTTCGGGTGACTCGGGAGCTCCCAGAACTATTTCGCCTACTCGTTAGCTTTGCCTTGTCCGCCTTCCACGAGGTAGGAAGACGCCAACAAGAGATCACCACTTGGCTTCCCTCACCCCCTCCTTTCCCTGTCCTTAGCCGTTCTACACCCCCTGACCCAGACCGGCAGCCGGGGAACCAGGTCGGCAGAAGATTGCCCGCCCGTGGGTCTGAATGGGGCAATGGCCCGGGGTTGCGATCCAAGGCAAAAAAAGGGTGCAGACAAAAGCAAGGAAGAACTCACAGAGGTCCAGTAAGGATCGTCGGCGGGTATGTGTCGCTCCTCCGAGAGCCTGAAGATGCCCTTTTTGAAGACGAGCTTCGAGTTACTAGCACCCATTGTTCGCGATGGTGGCCCAGTGGAGGGCGATTACCATAGTGCCTGCAAGGAGCGGAAAGGAAGGGGGCTGTTTCTCTCTCAAAAGAGGGGGTAAAAAGAATCCTTGTCTCGGGGGTGTTTTTTGTTCGGTACCAGATGCGGTGCGTGCGTGGTCTCGTCGGCGGCGAATTCGTTTTCCTTGATGATGTAGTGATTTGGTCGCTCTTGGTCTTGCAGAACGTGGTCAAACTGCAAGGGAGTTCGATCTGGTGCTGCTGACCTTGTACCTCTCGGCCAGTGGGACTCGTGGTTGTGGATACCTTGGTGATTAGAGCTCTTTGCTGGCTTTAGTGTGCACTATCGAATGGATTGGATGTACCTCGAACTTGTGCTGGACTGCGGGCGATGGCAAGAGGTTCGGATTCAGATGTGTTGTGGGGAGAGTTGATGACTAAGGCGCTACTACGTTCAGACACGCCAAGTCACAAAACTCTGGGGGCGAGTGGAGTAGGAGTGGGGTGAGGCTAACATGAATATGCCTGAGAGATGATCGATGGGGACAGGAGAGTTGAGTGGAATGATAGAGAGATGGAGAGGGAGAGAGAGGGCTAGAAAGAGACAGAGATGGCAAACCCAGAAATCTGGACTACATAGTTGCTTCGTGGTTGTAACTAACATCTGTTTGCTATTCGCCGTACAAAATCCGAGCCTGATCCCACCCAAACTTGGCACCATATCTAACTGCGGGTATTGTACATGTTTATGTTTCCCTGCCGCTGTGGGAGCATTGAGAACAAATGGTCGCCCAAGAAAGGAAAACAGAAAAAGAATAAGAAAAGGAGAAAAAAAAAAAAAAAAGTAGACACCGAGATGAGCCTTGATAGGCTCGGTTGAGCTCTCCAAGGGGAGAGGAAGGAAACCCACGCCCATAAAACATTCCTTGCGATAGCCCACAGCTAACTAAGCCCGAGAGAAACACCAACAAGATAGGAAAAACGAAACACAGAAAATGCCCAAGTGACCCTGTACTCGCCATGGAAGGGGCAGTAAAAGCGGGGCATGGTGCACAGATACAAAGACAAGAGAAAAGAAGAAGGAAAGAAAGCAAAGAAAGGCACAAGGTTCTAGGTAGGAGAAAGCTCCATTGCGAGATAATCTAATCGTCTGCCTCGTCAATGAGCGCAGTTACCCGTTGCGCTTTGGGGCGAGGAGTATCCTCTACCTCATCGTCATCGTCGGCCCGGAGGCTGGCCTTGTCTCCATCCGGGTCATCTCCGTCATCCATCGGCATGTCGCCGTTTTCGTCGACGTCTTCCACTACGTCAAGCTTGGCTCGGGACTTTTTGCTCTTTCGCGATGGCGTCCCGCCATTCTTAAGCCCGTGGCCGTTGATATGAATGTCATCGTCATCGATTCCGTCAAGCTCATCATCGCCCAAGTCTTGGGGCTCCGGCTGGTGCACCCTCTTTCGCTTGATGGCGGGGATGACTGCTTGATCCTGTAGCTCGATCCAACGGTTGAGCCGGCGAACGGCCCTGCGAACAGACGCGCAATACATGTTGGTCTCCTCACCAAAATCGTCAGGCTCGGATTTGAGCTGGCACAACCCTCCGGGCCCGGTGGACCGGAACGGGTAGTCGTCTTTGTTCACGTGTGAGCGGCCGCGGCTGGGCTCATCTTCGCCATCGCTATTCTGGAATGCGAGCTCATCAGGCATCTCCTTGATACGAACAGAGGCGCGATAGATGGCACCTTCCTGCTTTCGAAGCTTGCGCAGTTTGCGATACTGTTTGCGGAGACCACGGTCGAGAATATGATCAACCTGCTCCTTTCGGTGCCGCTCAACTGCTAGCTGGTGAGCCGTGGGTGGTCGGGGCTTGCGCGAGACCACGCCGTCCCCTTGAGGTCCTGCCGGGGACGAGGCATCGATGATGGTGTACTTGGATGGTATCCCGCGCCGGCTCGCGCTGCCGATAGCGGCCTGTCGAGCTAGCACCCTCGATGGTGGCGGAGTCGACCTGGTACTATCCATGTCTGACTCGTGCTTCGAGGGTCGGATGCGGGGTAGGATCGCTGGTCCATCATCGGCAACTGCCCTGCTTCTGGCTCCGCGCTTCGGTTGAGTATCAGCGATATAGGCTTGGTCGACCTCGAGAATCTTGGCCCTCATCTTCTGTTTCTCGTAGCCGAAATCAAGCTCTTCTTGCGTGTCCACATTCTCAGCCACCTCTTCTTCAGCCGTCATCTCCTCGAGCGATGGTACTCCCTGGTTGGCAACGTGTAAACCGTAATCGACACCGGGTCCAAACGGATTTTCTTCGCAGCCCTCTTCCGTAAAGTCGGACTCTAGGTAGAACCACATGAGCCAAAGGAAAGCCATGGCCCTGGAATGGCTCGAAAATTTGGTTTTCATCACGAGGTCGTGGAACTCTTGGCCGGCGGGAAAGTGGAGCTCGGCTATCTTCTGGGCCGCCGCGCAAATGATAAAGAGTAGGGAGACTGGGTTTGTGCGCGGGATGTTTGCCTCTTTGATGCTCACGAGCGTGCCGGGCTCTTCGCGGTCTTCCATGCTACCCTTGAGGATAGACTTGAGACGGGGAGCATCCTGCAGTTGCTTGTAGGCATGGGGATCCTGGCGGGCTTGGAGGGACGGAATCGCATGGTATGTTCGTAGCTGGGCCCGCATCTCGGGGAAGACTGCAGACAAACAGGGCAGGTTAACAAATGCAGCGGAAGGCAGACAAGAATAGCTTCTCGTCGGATCGTCTGGAAGCAGCAGCGGAAGCGGAGGCCCGAGGTACACTCGGACGCAAGAGGATGGTGCTTACAATTAAGTGTTGTGTTCATCCGCCCAATATTCACAAGCAGGCACACCATGGCCATGCCTTTGGCAGCGTCCCGATCGCTCAGCAGCTTGTCCCTCAACACCTTACTGGTCTTACTACTCCTTGCCATGGTGTCAATGTAAAGATCAGCGAAGCACTGCTTCCCAATCTTGTCAGGCTCGTAACTATTGGTGAAGACCTTTTTCTCGTCATCAAAAATAGCTTTGAGGAAATCGTATTGGATATCCTTTCTCCACAATGGATCACCGTCCTCCTTCTTCAGATGTCGAATCTTGCCGATGGTGGATTGCGAACCAGCATCCTTGGACTGTGATGCCTTGCTTTTAGAGCGCGAGGCTTTCTCTCCGGGTTCCGGCGTCGCGGCATCCATCATCGTGGTATCGCCATCATCAATGTTGGAGACAAACGACTTTTCGGGGCGGACCGGTGAGCTCGGGGCCTCGATGTCGGATGAGTTTGGAGAACCCATTGCGTAAAACCCCGGAAACTGAGAGCCAGCCGGGGAAGGGAGGGGATTGGTGCGGTTTGTTGATGGGGATGCACCTCTCCGGATTGACCACTACGGATGCGGTCACCAAAAAGTTGACAATCAAAAAAGGAAAAGGCTGCTAAATTTCAACAAAAAAAGATTGGGGTTAAAAGGGAATATCGTTCGGCGCCAGGCGTTGATCGAAGGACTGGTGAATATGGTCGTGATGTGACAGATGGTGGTGATTGGGAGTTGTGGCGACGTCGACTCAGCTACGCATTTTTCCCCTTGCCCTTCGATAGGATCGGGTGAGCCTTGCTTCGTGATAGTTGGCAAGTCTGCAACAGGTGAGAAAGTCCTGATGGACCGAATGGATGGGTGGGTAGTATTAGGCGATGGATGAAAAGGGATGGAGGGTTGATCGGAAGGATGTGGAAAATTGCACACGTCGTGGGATTTTGTGTGCATCGAGGGTAGAATATGGGCAACTACATGTCTCGCAAAATGGATGGGGAAAAACCACGGAATAGCGCGAAACGAGGAATGCGCGATGCGGGAGCGTTGGGTGGGTGGGCTTCAATTCCTCCATAGAATCACGGGTTTCCCAGGTCGCGATCAACCTTGCTGTACTGGGCTACTGGGGCGGGATTTACATATGCGTCGTCCTTCGGTACACCTCTCGCAGCGTTATTTACGAGGCTGGGAATGTACCTGCCTCAGCTTTCGTGTCACTGTGCCGGATCGGGAGAGCTATTATTATGAGTACCTGCAAGGAATCGTCAGGAAGGAAGGGAAGAGGGTATTCGAGGAATGAGGCCAGGCCTCATTCGCCAGCTTGACCTCCAGCCACAACTACACATACTTTTCTGTGGCTGGTGCCCGGCCTCAAGCTCGTGTGGCTTGGCTGGGCCAATCCCAGCACGGACCGAGCCTGTGCTTGTCGTTTCCAGCTGCAGGTCAAATTGGCCTAACCTCCCCAGGAATTCCTCTCCTTGCCCCCAGAAACAAAACATCACCACGCCTCAAAATCAACAACGAGCGGCGCCTCGGGGCAACCCAGCCTACATATTCTTACGACGTACTAACATAAAGCAGGCCGATTCCGCATTCCTCAGAAAATACATCTGGAATATTTTAGTTGTCTTTCATCAGTCTTTTTGACCGCGAATCCCCTTCAACACAATCCCTCAATCTTAGGCTGTCTCTTTTCTGAGTCAACGACCTGCTTGCTATCCATCCTCTATAAGACGCGGGGCTTCGAAGAAAAGGGTCCTCCCCCAATCGATTCGCTCGTAAAATCACATCGGTATCGAAGAAGGATATCACTGGTCTGTCTGCATCGGCCTCCATACGATGTCTTCGTCAAGCACAAAGGTTGTGCCGGTCAGGACGCCTCAACGTCCCACCGCCCCAGCTCCCGCCATCGAAAGCCCTGGAAACTGGACGCATCCTCGCCTGCGAGAGATCAACAGGCGGCGAAACCGCTCAACGTTCAACGACAAGAATGTTCGCAAAATTGCCTACAACATTGCTGCTCTGATCGGCCTATGGATCCTTCAGTGGGTGGCCGACCAAGTCCTCTCACCAGATAGGTATGTCACCTCCACATCCCACCACTATAATCCCTTCTATTCGTTTCCGTCCTCATTTAATCAGTCCATGCTAACCTAATGTTTTCTTTCCGCCCCCTTGCAGCTTCACCCGGCAAACGAAAACTCTTCTGTCCTGGGCCTACCTCGCCCTTCAAGCCCTCCCCCTTCTCAACATTGGTGTGGCCTGTCTTCCACTTTTCCGCACAGAGGACAACCTTTCCGACATTCCTCTCACCCCGGGCCAACGAAAGCTCCTTGGTCTGCCTCCGAGCACGACGGCTCCCATCCCCAATGCCGTCTACAGCACCCTCCCCGCTACTCCCGCACTCCTTCGATAAGCGGCTCCATCGCTTCCAAAGCCAGCTTCTCCGGCTCACCGCTCTCCGCTCGAGGTAGCGTGAACAAGGCTGCCCAGCAGCATGGTGCGGGCTCTCCCTACTCGCCCGCGGCCAGCCCTCTCAACGGCAAGAGTGGCTTCAACCCCTCCCTCAACTCCAACGGCCGGAGGTCCTCGTTCGGTTCCCCGGTACCACTCTCGAACTCGGCGAGCCTCTTCTCGGAGCCTGCAACCCCGAGCCCTTCCACAAAGAAGACTAGCGTCGGCCTCAATAACAAGTGGCTTTACGAGAAGGGCAGGAGGTCCTCGGGCTCGTGGATGCAATAAGGAGAGACGACAGACCGGTGGCAGAAACAGAACCAGTATTTCCGCGAGTGCGTCGATAATTGTACGATGTTGCGCTATTAGTTCCGGGAGAAAGGGGGCAGGGGGCCATAATTTAGTGCTATCTTAACCGAAGAGGCACAAGGAAAGCCAAAACATGAGCTGGAGTATACATGGAAACGCACTAGAGTGCGAGGGGATTCTCCTCCCATCTTTTCTCGTGCTATTTATCTGTACATACCGAAACGAGGCAGATGGGACTTGACTCCTGCTGTCTCGGGCCGGCGGGCCCTTTTCTTTACATCTTTCGTTTTGCTAATGTGGAGGAGTGGTGGTGGTGCCTGGAAGGCAGGACGCAAGACTGGACGGGAGAAAGATGAGACATGCCGCCTCTGGCTTTTGTATGAATTATGAATAAAACAAAACACCATACCCATTTACGCATCACTCCCCTGGTTATTCTTGATTAGACTCTGTCCTTTTACAGATCAACAAGGTAATGAGATGTCATGTCGGGAGAGGAGATGATGTATTGTCTCTTTACTCTATCTCGAACATGGCTACATTGCAAACGAAACGAAAAGGGTTTGCACAACGATATTAAAGTTCAGAAGATGCTGCGCTCATGTCCCTAGCCCATGCCCATCTATGCAACTATGCAGCGAAGAAGAAGAAGAAAAAAAGAAAGGAACAAGTATGCAATGCAGTACGCAAGCAGTATGGGCGAAGCAGAACGCCGTGAAAAACAAAAAAGGGATCAACAAGAATAGAATGCACCTCGCCACGACGAACAAACCGTTACAAGAGCTTCTCTCATCAGTGTCTATCCATCACACGCCACGAACACATGTCCTCTATGACACGGGAGATTACGCCTGGGGAAGATTGCCCCACGCTCTAATCGAGGAGATTATTGGGCGGTCTTCGCACCGCCGGCCGCTCGCTATACGGGGGCGGAGGAAGAATCTGCGCGCTGGCCGCCTGCCGTTGCGGCGGTGCCGGAGAAAGAGCAGTCGGGGCGCCAGGGCCCGCGGGAACAGAGCTAGCGGACCACTGTCCGAGCTTGGTGATGCACGGCACCAAGTACTCCTGGATGAAGGATTCGCTAAAAAAAAGAGAGTTAGCAAGACGAGTCTTTTAGAAGGTTTAGGAAAAGGGGGAGAAAAGGGGGATAGTACGTACGTGTAGTAGCTGTGCTCGGCGCTATGCACACTGACCAAGTTGTGCGCGAGCTCATGCGCCATGACAACCCACCACCACATCGCAGCGTCCGCCCGGCCCTGAGACGAGCCGACCGTGCTGGCGTGCAGCTGCAAGAAGAAGCGAAAGTTGAAGAAGAGACTGCCGCTCATGTTGAACGCGATGGTGCCGCCCGCCTTGTCGTAAAAGATGTGGAGGACCCGGTGCGAGACCTTGTACACGTCGGCCACGTCGCGCAGCAGCACCGAGAAGGCGTTGAGCGCCCCGCTATTCTGGGAGAAGAAGGTGCCCGGTTCCTCCACGTCCTTGTCGGCGTAGATCTTCATGCCCGACGCCGATTCCGCCACGCACACGAGCTTGTAGCCCTGCGTGGTATCGCAGTACGATCGCTGCTCCTGCACCTCCGTCATGGTCGGCTGCGAAAAGACCTCGTTGGAGCCAAACGGGCGCGACGCCTTGATCGCGTTGAGGAGGTTCTGGCTCACGAGGGCCGGGTTCGTGACCCTCCCTTCTTGCTGGCCGTTTTGTTGCTGCTGCTGCTGCTGCTGCTGCTGTTGCTGTCGCTGCTGTTGACCATCCGAGGGCGTGCTGGGCCCCGCTGCGGCCTGGTCTTCGTCTCGCTCCCCAGAATCGAGGAAACGCTTCGCCCAGTTCGAGAAGAGTCCCTTGCCCCTCTTTGGTCGGGCGGGCTCGGAGGAGGTCGTCGCCAAACGCCCCCGGCATGCTAGGCAGGTTGTCCACTTGCGCTTGGACAGCCCGCTGAGAATCCATTTCTTGGGCTTGCTGCTGCTCCTCGCCGAGATGAGGCTGGCCTCCTCGCGCCACTTGGCCTCCCTCTCACGGACGCGCTTCATCTCCTCCTCTAGAGCCTTGGCTCGCTCCTCCTCGGCGATCCTGGCCTCTGCGGCCTTGGCCCTCAAGATCCTCTCCACATTGTAGCCGCGAGAACGCAGGCTCAGCAGGTCCAGGGTGAGAAGGGGCTCGAAGAAAGTGTACGACTGGTGGTTGTGCCGCGTCAGGATCAGCTGGCAGAGCGCCTGGCCAATCTGGTACATGTCGGGTTTGCCGTCGGTGGTGACGTAGAGAACGCAACCGTTTCGGTCTTCCTTGCTAGCAGCCGACCTCTTTTCAGTGTGAGATTTGGGGTAGTTTGCCAGCCGTCGGCGGAGGGAGATCGACTGGACCATGACAACCTGGAGGTTCTTATCCAGCCACTTTCCATCGTGCTTGATGATCTCCTTCTTTTCGCTAGCATACTCGTGGAGGAAAATCTTGGTGCGCTCCAGCACGCGTTTGTGAATTTTGGCTGCAGAATCTGGCCTGTTGACCGGGGACCCCATATTGAGATCTTCTTGGACGAGGCTCCTTAGCCGGCGCGCACCCAGCATCAAATAAAAGTCTTCTAGCATCTCTTCCTCGGGCGCGCAGAGAAGTAACTCCTTGAATATCCTGAAGCTGATGAAATCGTCGGAGATGACAATGTTAAAGGGGCTTCGAGATGATACTGCCTCATCTCCGTCTCGTCCTCGTCCGCATCCGCATCTCCTACCAGGGCAGTCGTGGTTCTGGAGGCGAGTAAACACTTGGATGTCTGGAGCTTCGACCAGAGCGCCTTGTCCTTCTTGATTTGGGACGCGCTCTGGGCAAGTGTTCGCAAAAGGTTGAGGTACCTATCAACCTGCAGCATGCCCAGGAGTCGCGCGGGCTCCTGGCACACGCGCTCGGCTAGCTCAAGCTTCGTGGGCTCCGTGCGCGCACCACAGTGGAATAGGAAAGCGTTGGCGTTGCTTCCAAAATCGACGAAATCAAAGATATCGGCATAGGTGGAACCTTCGCCCAGGTAACAAAGCGAAGGGCTCGTGAAGCGAACGTTGCCCTTCTCGCTTTGTGGCTTGATGGGGATGATGGCCGCATTTCTAAGCCTCGAGATAAGAGGCTCTTTGATATCCGGTAGGCGCTGGGCAAAGTAGCCGAAAAGCTGACTAGCCTGGGCGGTGTCAAGCGGTGGTTGCGCGAGAAGTCTCTTGACACACTCCGTAATGGGGGCGACCGAGCAACGCCGAATTTCTAAAACTCTGTTAGTGTATTGTACAAAAGTATATTCCCGCGAGGGGTGTTTCCACAGGAGTAATCAAGCCCAACAAAAGAAAAGGAAGAAAAAAGAAGAAAATGCTTACCAAGGCGTGCGGGATCAAATCACGTCTGAGGACCTTGAAACCCAAAATCGCCGCTCCTCATCCGTAAAGCACCCCGAGGGGGCACAAGGGTCTTGGAGTCTCCCTCGAGGGGCAGGATGGCCAAATTTGTGTCGGCAAAGGAGGAGGCCGAGTAGCCGTTGACCACATGCTTGGAAATGAAGTACGTCCTCGCGTTTTCTCGAAGCTCTGCGTCGTCCGAGGCCATCATGCCGACGAGCTCGCTCGCCGTGGGGCGGTCCCGCAGCCCGAGCGCGGAGAGGAACTGCGCTTCGATGCTGCGCGCCGGCAGGGCGCCGGGCCAGTACAGGGTTGGCAGGTTGAGGCTGCGCAGCGAGTCTTGGGGTTCGAAGAGTTCCGCTACTTTGTAAAGCTTGGTGGAGGACTTGAAGCGCTCCATGCCCTTGGGCCCGCTCTCGGCGGGGCAAATGGCGGAAGCCTTGAGCTTTATCATATCCTTGGTCGGTATGTCATTCCGGACGGACGCGAGGTACTTGATGAGCTCAACATGACTCCACTTTTGCTCTCCCTCCTTGGGGAGAGCAACCTGGCAAAAATGGTTTCAAGGTCAAGAGTCTTGCGGACGCCGAGCGCAACCAAGAGCTTCTCTTTGACCTGCCCGAGGCCGTCGATCACTGGGAGATCGTCGAAGAGCTTGACAGAAGGAAAGAATGATTCCTCGGGCTTGCGCATGCCAAATTTGGTGGGGATAACGGTATGCTGCCGAAGCAAGGACACAAGGCCCTCTTTCGAGCCGGGAGACAACTGGTCCCAGTTCTTGCCAACCACGACCAGCACCTGCTTGGAGAAGTCGGCCGACTTGGTCACATTGACGTTGTCCGAACGCTGGCCCGCCGTTTGTATGAGGTACTCTACCCACGGCAGGATATCGAGCGAGCTCCACCCAAGCGCCGAAAGTTCCTGCGTGGTACAGTGGCTAGTGAGGGAGAAAGGAAGAGTATCCGGCGGGATGGGAAGCGTGGGGGATCTTGTTGACGGCAAGGAAATTTCTGATGCTGACGAGAGCCACAACCCCTCCTTGGCTGCCGTTCTCGTCCTCGACGGTAGCGACGGCGACCTCAATGAGACTTTTCGCGGTAGCTCGGTCCAGACTACCGTTGAGCGCCATCTTGGCTGCCCACTTGATAAAGGATGTCAACTGAGTCTTGGTCATCGCCTTTCCATTCAGCTCGCCTCGAATATCCGCAAGCGTGATGGAGCTGATGACTCCGTAGTCGATAAGTTTCTTGTAAAATACAATGTCCATCATCTCCTTGGGCACCACGGGCAGGCCATCAATGAACTGGCCCAGCTCGTCAGAGGGGATGCGAACCTTGGTGGAGGTTTCTACACCGCGAGTGGAGTAGATGTGGAAGTTGACGTCCTTGTAGGCCATCCAAAACGCCTCGTCAATGTAGGAGCCAACCTTTTGGCTCGGCGTAGAGTCCTCAAACGTGTACGTTTTGAAGACGTGCATCGCCTCGGGTAGGTGCTGGGCCACTTCCTTGCTCGTGAGCTTGCCACCCTGAGGGATGGAGGCCTTGACGCGCTGGGAGAGTCGCTCCATATCATCGGCAAAGGATATGCGAGTCATGATACCAGCGGCGCGAAGCATCTCAATGTTCCACGACTTGACGGAGCGGGCATTCAAATCAATGGCCTCCCGCTCGACGGTGGGGATGACGGACGGCGCCGAGATGTGCAGCCCGGCACCAGTCGTCTGCATGGTGGGAAACCGATAAAAATTCGGCCGCCGGGCTTCTTGCTCGGGAGCACAGAGGCAAACACATCAACCGCGTTTGCCGCGGCGCCCGTTTGCCCGCAGCAGACGAAGCCATGGCTTCATCAAAGGAGGAGGTGAGGATGGCGAGCTTGGCCAATTTGGGCGGTGGCTTCTTGGTCGCGCGCTCCAGCTCGGCGGCCAGGGTGCGACCGACCTTGGTCCGGATTTGTGCCGACGTGACGCTGAGGAAGATGCTACTCGTCTTGACTTCGGTGACGTCGTCCGAGGCAACAGCCTGCGCCGCCGCCTCCTCGGCCTTAGCCTTGGCCTTTTGCGCTGATTGGGAAGTGGAGGAGGAGAATCTAGCAAAGAAGCTCTTGATCAACGGGGCATCCGTAATCTGGCCACCAAAGGCCTCCGTCGTCTTCTCCAGGACGGTCTTGGGCCTCCAGCCAACGGCCACCATGTACTGAGCGTCGATCTGTGTGCTCGTGCGCTCTACATTTGCTACCGTCATCATGCCGTCCTGGGTCGTGGTGTCAAAGTTTCTCGATACGGAGACGGGGACGCTGGGCGAGATCTTCTTGTGCAAGGATAGCACCTTCCAGTCGTCGATCCAGAATTCCATCTTCTGCAGAGCGACAAACGTAAGACTGGTGGCCAGGAACTGGGCGACAGACAGTAGATTGGGCACCGGTGTGTCGTTTGTGCGATAATCGAGTACAAAGGTGGTGCTGCGCGAGCGCTGCTCAACGGGCAGCTGCGATCGTTTTGTGAAGAGCGAGGTGCCCTTCCAGTAGAACGCCATGCTCTCGTCTCCCGAGGTGACAAAGGGGTCGTCGCAGTCGGCGAAGACGCTGTAGAAACCGACGCCAAAGGCGCCAATCTTGGTCTCATCCGGGTTACCCTCCGCGATACGCTTTAGGCGACCCCAATCTGTGTCTGTAAAAGGCTGGCCGTCGTTCCTTACAACCAAACGCTTGACCTTGTTATGCATCACGGCGTGTTTGAGAAGCTCGGACGGAGTCGGCGGGGAGGGCAGTGGCACCGAGGTCGAGGGCATCGTCTCGAATTTGACGACGACGGATTCGGCTTGCGCATCAGCGGCGTTTTGTATGAGTTCTCGCAAGGTGGTCCATTCTCCCGAGTATCTGGCGAGAACTTTGTCGATGAGGGCTCTCGTATCGACTGTCACGGCCTCTTCGGCCACAGTGCTGGCGAGGGCATCGGCCCTTAAGCGAGCGTAATCCATGTTGTGTCGAATGTAAATTAGCAGCTCATTATCGTGCCGAGTCGAATGTGTGGAAAGATCCGCTGCGTTCAGTTTCGTCGTGTAACGAATGGCGTTGGGAAAGAATAAATGCGAGCAGAGAGAAATAATCAAGTGGAAGCGGCGTCGTATATCTCGGTTACCGTTTCGGAAAGTTTCGCTGGCAATGAGGGTGAGAGCTGGGTGAGAGAGAACCAAGCTCTTTTATGCGAGACTGGGTTTCGAAGAGGCGTCACGGCTTCAATCTCGTAGAGAGGGAGGGGGAGAGGGTTCGAGATCTTAAAAGTCGTCAAGAGAAAATCGGACCCTAAATAAAGAACCAGGAGGTTATGGAGTGGGCAACAGAATCTTTTGTTGAAATGATCTCGACCCAGGAACACGGGAACCGCACTTGTCGTTGCAAGGCTGCGACATGACGCAGTCTCAGGGGTGGAGGTTGTAACCAATGGCGGCTTTGTCGGAAACAGGACCCTAGAATCTAGAATGGGGGCCTCAGAGTATCTTTAGCGGGGTAGTAGGCACCAACCGCAGCCACCAGTCATGGAGGCTCCACACATAAGCCGCCCGATCCTGCATCGGCCACATCAGCCTTGCCACCGTGCCTACATCTCGTACCCTACACTGCACCAAGACAGAACTCTCCTTCATCGGCAGAACCTTCGAGCAATGACCCGTGAATTCTTCAAAAAATGTCTTGGCCCCCTCTTCCCAGCCTAGAACCCAAAGTACGCCTAGTTCCAGCACCTGCACGTGAAACAACATAAAGAATCGAGATGCTTAGCATTCAATCCTTCCTTAGGCCCTTGTGATTCTGCCTCGCCTCACGCTAGCGACCAAGTGACCACAACGCAGCCTGCCGCAAACCATCACTATCTATGGGGTTGTCCCCGTCAGTATCTGTAGACCCATCCACTAACATCAATCGGTGTTCAAATTCGAGTTAAACTCATGTTGATCATCTGCAACGGGAAACATATAGGCGTTTTTTTTACTTGACTTTTGGATTCTTTTAACTGCTGTTGTTCATGTTCAACGCTTAGCCTTCCTTCCTTCCAGTCTGTCCAGCCACTATCCCTAGCTAGAAAATAGATCTGTTCATGTCATGAAGCTTCCGCCGGTCAAACATTCCCCGCCAGGCTAGGCACGCAGTGCATACTTAGTTGGGGATGTGAATGTCGTTCCTGGAGAATCTTTCCAAGCCTCCTACTTCAGATGGACCATCGCCAACGGTCAAAACTCATTAATTCCTCGGCCGTGGCTTATTTCCATCGTCGTCCCTACTACGGCTCCGCCTTCGATGAGGACGCCTATCCCCGCTTCTCGATCGCTCGTCGCGCCCGTGCCTCCTTCGCCTTCGCTGTTCATCCCGCGCCCCATCCGCGCTCCTGCTCCGCCTTCTCTCTCTCCTCGCGGCTTCATCCCGTTCATCCCGCCTTGGCCTCTCGTGGCGCCTTTCTCGGCTTCGGCTTCGGCTCCTGTGTCGCCTCTCCTTCCTCTCCCCTCATCCCCTCGGTGCCTCTCCCTCCTCTCACCATCCCCGCCTCGGCGCCTCTCCCGTCGATCATCGCCTTCCCCTCGGCGTCTCTCTCGCCTTCCGCCTCTCTCGTCGTCGTCCCTCCTCCTATGCCTCCTCCTCTCCCCATCTCTCTCCCTGCCTCCCTCCCTTTCCTTTTCCTTTCCCTTCCCCTCGTCCGCTTCACCAGCATCTCCCTCTCCACCGAGTCCCCGCCCCGCCGTGACCTCCACCGCGTTCGCCCCCGAAGCATCCCTCACCGGGACTGGCAAACCGAGAGCTCTCGCCATCGCGTCCTCCTCCGCTTCTTTCACCTTCCTCAGCTCCTCCTTCCTCTCTCTCTCCGCCCTTTCCTGCTCCGTCTCTCCCTCCTTGGCCGGTTCGGCCGGGTTCTTGGCGTACCATTCTAGATCCCGCCCCTGCTGCCATCGGCCCACGGGGGCCTTGAGACTGTGACCCAGGTAATTTTCCCGGTGAGACGAGTTGGCTACCTCATCCCAGCTGAAATTGACGCCGCCTCGCGAACCGGATTTGCGGATGCTCGAGACGAGATCCATGGCGTTTTCTGAACCCCGTGGGGTTTCGTTTTCTTCCGAAGGTTGTTTTTGTTTCTCAGGGCTCCTCTTAGCGCCGGCTTTGGTAGATTTGGTGCAGTGCTGATTTCAGCGTGCAGCGATCGAGCGACACTTGATGGATTGGAGGAGCAAAACGAAAAATTGATGAAATAAAAAGGGAAGCTGTATACCCTCCCGTTATAATGGCGATTGCGGATATGTAGACACTTATAACAGGTCCCCGTAGATGGGATAGATACCCGTCCGGTTCAAAGCTAATGGTGGTGGTCGGCTATGAAATGGTGTATGGGTGTTGATGTTGGTGATGGAAGTCAAGCAGCGTCACTCCAAGTCAACGGCGGTTGGTCGTGCAGGCATGTGTGTGCAGCATGCTGACTTGGACTTCGACACACCAGTGCCAGTGCCGTTTGTAATATGCACTGTGCATGTGAGAGCTCCTCCATCAATATCAACCTCAAAAGGCTCGCAGGCACAGACGATCAATTGGAGTTGGTCAACATCACCGCATGTCATGTTTTTAAGAAGAATCATTGTAAAATTCGCATTATCAGGCCGCCGCGTCCACTACAAACTACCAAACCTAACGTGGTTCCTTCAAAAGAGACCAACGAGCAGGATAACCACCCCCAATCCACACGCATCACATACGTAAGGCCAGCCGCAGACACAAGGAGAACAAGACTCTCCAAGGTGTTCAGCAAGACATGAGCGACGAGCAAAATATGGTAGGAAAAGAAATCAGCAAAAGACAAGAAAAACTGCCCAAAAACAACTTTTTCGATAGTACGCCACGTAAAATGCAATGCATGTCCTCGCCTCGTCATTCCCAACAAAGCAGCAGGCCGTGCCCGAGTTCTCCTCATGTTTCTCCTCGTACCGAAAAAGAACCATAACTGGGGTCGGAGACTCTGCATTACATTCGGAAAGAGGACACAAAAAAATAAGGCAGTATGGGCCGGAGAAAGAAGCCTGATCCCGGTCGTAGGGTGGAAGGCTACCGGCCAAGGGTGGGGGAAATGAGTTTTTGTAGCGTTGGTGTTTGCCAAATAGTTTACAGTGGCCTAGGCGCCGGTCGGGGGACATCACCATAACCGGTCCGCTCCTAAAAGAGAAAGCGGCGCAGTACGAGGTCTAGCCCCCGTTCGGCACCTCAAGCCCACCCTCTCCATGAGGCTATGAAACCCTCTAGAGAAAGGAGGATCAAGCCGCATTTACTTGATCTCGAGGAGCTTGACATCGAAGATGAGGGTGCTATTCGCGGGAATGCCGTCGAGGGGCTTGTTGCCGTAGGCCATGTTGGCGGGGATGGTGAGTCGGCGCTCGCCACCGATGGCCATGCCGAGCACACCGACGTCCCAGCCCTTGATGACCTCACCCTTGCCAAGCTTGAAAGTAAAAGGCTTGCCCTTCTTGTTGGCTAAAGTAGTGAGGGAAAATGTTTCGTTAGCTATTCAGTCCTCCAATCATGGGCCAGTAAGGAGCACTTGGTTACTTACCATCAAACTGCTTGCCGTTCTGGAGCTTGCCAATGTACCTCATGCCGATGGTGTCGCCGTTCTTGGCGCCGCGGCCGGTACCGACCTTGCGGTCATCAATGGTGACGCCCTGGACGACCCTGATGCTCTTGGCGGCAGGCTTCTCGGCGGCCTTCTCCTTGCCGGCGGAGCCAGTGGGGCCCTGCTCGAGCTGCTTGGCGAACTGGACCTTCTTATCGCCCTTGGCCTCCTTCTTCTTCTCCTCGGCAGCGATGGCCTCGCCCTTGTTGTTCTTGAGCTTCTTGGCCTTCTTGTCCTTGGTGGCGCTGGAGATCATGGCATCGAGACCCTCAATCTCCTCCTCGGCCTGGCGCTTGTTCTTGCCCTTCTTGGCAGGGACGAGCTCGGGGGCCTCCTCGTCGGAGTCGACCTCGGTGACACGGGGCCATCGACGTCGTCGAGCTCATCGCTCTCCTCGTCGCTCTCGCCAGCCATCAGGAGGTCGTCGTCATCGAGGTCATCCTCGTCCTCAGAGTCGTAGTCGTCCGAGTCCTCGTTGAGAGACTCGATGTAGTTACCAACAAGAGTGACAGCATGGGTACCGGTGGCAATGAAGTAGACCTCCTCATCCTCACGGACGGTGATGTCAATGGGCTGCTGGTAGAGCTACACGAGGGGAAGAAAACGAAAACAGGTTAGTTCTGTAGCTCAGTCTGACTCTGCTTGACAGAGATTTTTGAAAAGAAGGCGGGAAAAAGAAAAAAACTTACGCGCTCGGTGTCGAGAGTGCAGATGACAAACTCCTCGGGAATGAAGAGCTCATCGTCCTCCTCGCTATCCTCCTCGTCCTCCTCATCCTCATCAGTAGCCTTCTCCTTGCCCTTCTTGCTCTTAACGCCGTTGGTCTTGGCATCGGCCATCTCCTCGTCAGACTCCTCGTCCTCGTCGGCCTCCTCCTGGGCAGCCCTGATCAGGCTGGCAAGGGCCTCGGCACGCTTCTGCTTCTTGGACTTCTTAGACTGGTCCGAAGGTCCGCCATTGGGCTCGTCCTCGTCCGAGTCCTCGTCATCATCGGAGGCGTTGATGAGAGCCTTGAGGTACTCATCCTCATCGTCATCCTCGTCCGAGTCCTCGTCGTCCGAGTCGGAAGCGGGGACTCGGATGAGCTTGAGGGTGGAGCGGTGGACAGAGGGAGATTGCCCTCGGCATCAGCCTCGGGCGCAGCGGTCGGGTCAATCGCAGCCATGGTGATACGGAACTGCCGAGGGGACAATTAGTACGCAGGCCCCCAACCCATTTGCGTGTCGGCAGGTGCATGTGCTAGCATCGCGAAACAAGACAGCCCACACCACGGTGCTGAGACACACCTTGGGGCGGCAGCTTCGAAACGGAGCTTCGACATGGCAAACCGAGAGAGGAGGGAGGGGAAAGAGACACTTACTCGGGCGGGGAAGTTGACAGTAGAGGCCGGGATGGGGCCCTCATTGGGAGGGACGGTCAAGCCGTAGATCGCAAGAGCTTCAGAGGCCATTGTGTGTGAATGTGAAGTTGAAGAGATGGGGTATTAGAGGAAGAGAAAGAAAAGAAAGAAGAAAACGAGAATTCACAGAGCTGTTGAACAAGTTTCCTAGAGTGTTTAAAATGGAAAGCAAAAGTGAAAGGAAGTAGCTCTCTAACCTCAATGTTGATAAACCGAGAGAGAGAAGAAAAGTTGGTTACGAAGAAAAATCGAAGAGATCTTTTTTTCTTTCAAGAGGAAAGGTGTAGGGAGAAAAGAAGGCGACAAGCGACCCCAAATTTTTTTCTGCAGGCCTTTGTTCTTTTTTTTTCCTGCCTCTTTTACTTGCTCTCGACTTTTTTTTTTTTTTGGGTTACCCCACTGGAGGCGGGAAAAAGGGCGATAAGGATCTTATCGGTCGTTCCACCACCACGCTAGAAGCTGGCGACACTCACCGCCCACGGCGCCCAGCCAATCCGAACACGCCCCCGAGAACCATGCGCTCCAGTTTTTCTCCAATGCAAAGTTGCGATGGACTCTGCCCGCGACACTGTTGCCTTGGGGACGATGAATTTCTTTCCCGCTATTACATAATCGTTCAATCTCCTGGGGCAGAATAATGGCTTGCCAACCTTGCCAACCCATATCGCGAACCAGACGACTTATACAGCTTCACCTCCAAAATCTTTGTGGTTTCTACCCTCCAAAAGATTCAATGTTGGCTGATAATGATCTCTCGGTTCTGGTTATTAGTGCGGAACGCTCGTGATATTCGATTTTAGTAGTGACCCACATTGTTGGCCAAGCCAAATTCGTTCATTCAACTCCTACCTAGCCTCATTACATATTACCATCAGCGACCGCTCAGGCGCTCTTCACCCCGCCATCTCTCATGATTAATATTCCACCATCTAACCTCCCTCCCCTTTCGTCTGGCCAAGAGTTTCTGTGCCTTTAATCCACTTGCGTATGGGTTCCTGAAAAGTGAAGACATCCGCCTGTAGGCCATCCCAGATTGGCCATACCTCCACATTACTGGGCTGTATATCCATCACCACTTTGCCCCTTGACCACCCTCCTCCGCCTCCTTGTCCGGCCGTCTTTGCCGTCTCTCGTGGCAATACTCGCCAACTGAATGGCGCCGTTTCCCTCCTCGCTATCATGGCCGTTCCAACAACCCCCGCCAAGCTTTCCATGCTGTGGTAGCGAGCGCAATAGGATAGGCCCTGTTCTCCGTCTCAAGCCCTGTATTTCCATAAAGAACTCCGAGAACGCCAGGTCCAGGCCCCTGTAAAGATAAAAACGAATCCCCTACTCTAGAATGCCAATGCTAACGACTGTAACAGATGATAGAAGAAAGAAGTGATAGGAGGAAAAGGGTGGGGGAAAGAGAATAAAAAAGGGAAAGAAAAGGCTACGCGATGCAAGTGAAATGTAAAAAGTGGCCAGTTCGCCAAGACCGGTGCCCCTTTTGGTTCGTGGTTCGTTCGGAGAAGAGCCCGCAACTTTAGGTACCTCGTATGTACGTGACATGGGCCGGTGAGGATTGAATCGAGCACGACTCTGGAGCCCTTCCATCATAAGCCTTGTTGGTGAACGAACATCATAAAATCGAAACAGAGGATTAAAAGGTGCGAAGAGGGGTCATAAGTAAAAAGAGAGGAAGAAAAAAAAAGGGAAAAGGGTATTAGCAGGAGCAAGAAGAAGAAAAAAGGGACGGATGCCGAAAAGAGCAAGACGGTGCGTGCGGGTTGAGCCACAGGCCCTCATCTACGCCATCTCTTCACCCGCGGGCTGGGCTCGCTTCCGCGTCACCTTTTTGCTCACGGCGTACACAAGGTCCACCGTCCAGAAATGGCAAATCTGGGCCTGCGCACAGGGGATAGCACCGTACAGCGGTGCGACGAGCGGCGCCATGACATAGTCGACCACGTTCTTCTTCAGCGTCCTGTGAGAGAAGCGCATGCCCACGGCGAGGCCGGCGTCCGTCATCTCTTGCTGCCTCGACTTGACGCAGATGCGGTGGAAGCGTTCGTACAAGCCGAGATAGACAACCACTTCCATAAACCCGAGTGCGCGTAGGACGTTGCAGACGGAGAAGATCCAGGCTAAATTGTGGGCATCCATCCCGTTCTTGGTCATCCATACATACAGGGTAGATGCAAAGACCAAAATCGTCATCTGAACCGGCAAGAAGTGGGCTTCGAAGAGACGGTGGAAGAGATAAAAGATTCGCTCCCAATGGGGTCCCTCCAAGGTGTCGACCGTGGTGTCAGAGAAGATGCCCCCGTCACCACCGGCCTCCAGGTCGTGGGCGCCACCAGCATGATCCGGGAGGTAATCATCGGAAGAATCGCCACTGATAGTATCGAAATCAATCGACTGTTAGCCCAGTCCCCTCACGTCAAACAAGCATATAATAATCAAAGAAAGCGGGACGATGTAGTGATAATAGTGTGTGAGCCAAAAACTCGTTGGTGCGGAGTGGGCCTGCATGGGACGTGCAGGATCCAGCTTGTGATTGGGTGGGCGGGGATGCCAAGCGGCCGCGCTCCGAGGGAGCCGGGCGAGGCTGGCCCTTGGCAGGGGGGGAGGGAAATCTTACATTGCTTGATGAAGAGGCCGGAAAGCTCGGGAGGTCCTCTTTCGCTCGCGCCATAAATGCACGAGCTGGCGCAGGGCATATCCGGTGTCCAATGCACCCCACATGTGCCGCAGAGCTTGTTTATATCGGGCGTTCATGTCCATATAAATTCCGACCATGCCCTCCTTCCCACCTCCCGTCACGTTGCTCTGGCTCACGGGACTCAAAACTGTGCGCGATGTCAAATTTCCGTTGAGGGCGAAGAAGCACTTGAGGTACATGTGGAGATCCTCTCCAATCGCCTCGCTGTCACAATCCCAGCCTCCGACGCGGTCAATAAGCTCGAGACTCAAAGAGTAGACCGAAGTGGGCGGCGCAATAGTGGATCCGCTGTAGAGTCCCGAAAGGCCGGCGGCACACCAGAGAATATCGGCAACCCGAACGATGGCGGGCACATTATGCGCGTTCCTATCAAAGATGATTGGGGCCGAGTACAGGGTCTTGGTGGCCGTCTCCGGTGAGCTGAGATGCATGGAAGAAATGAGCGCAAAATAATTCGACGACAGGTGGCTGTCAGCTAATACCACAAATCTCAACATTAGCAAAATCACTCAACTATGCGGCCCCGGCCCCCGGCCTCGCGATGAAGCTTTCAGAGAGTCTCAATAACCCGGCGGCGTAGCTCGGATTGATTCATCAACCCCTCCTTCCCTTCAACCCATCGCCGGAATCCCAGAGACCAGCCGGACGAACGCGGGAGTCACTTACCATCGATGCCGGTTACGACGACATCTTTGCGCTTCTCGAGCGGATACCTTTCGCTAAGCTTTCGAGCAGCCCAAGCAACATTGCTACCCTTGCCAGCGGATTCGCCTGGGATGTCGCCGGGATGAAGAGTGTAGCCGATGAACCGGAATTTCGAGGCAAACTCGTCAATGAGCTGGAGGGCCTTGGTCTGGGCCTCTGCTTCGCGCTGTTCCATTCCGAGGTAGACCTACATTGATTCAATGTTAGTGTTTTAGAGGATGGCGAGTTTCGTGCAGACCACTCTTAGCGCAAACCAGGCACTTCGGTTTTCGCAGAGAGAAGGTCTCCACGATTCAAAAAAACTACCGGGTGACGGCACATTCGCACAACCCCTCCCCGCTCCTGATATGGCCTCCTCTTCTTGCCCCCAAGTGAGAGGCAGAAGATTGGGGGTGAAGGGGTGTAGCGATTCGGGGTGCGCCGAGTATTTTACTCACGTCATAATTAGTGCTCGCGGGCCCATGCGAAGCGAGAACATCGAGCGTCTCTCGCAGGGTGTCCATCTCTTCCTTATAATTGGGAATAATGATCGCATGAATAATGTGGCTCTCGGCGCCCGCAAGCTCGATATCGAAATCGCCGGCTTCGCTACTCGAGGAGGAAGTTGCGTTGGAGGATGCAAGCATCGTATCGGAGCTAGAAAGCGAAGCCGAGGACCCGCGCCGCTGCCCGGTGAGCTTCAGCTCCCGCAAGGTCTTGGCGCGCGCCTTGTCTATGCTCTTGGTGAGGTCGAGGATCGCCCAGCACGCTCTGAGAGGGAAAACAAAAACTAAAAAGTGGATCAGGAGGCAGTAGTAGGCGAACAAGACGGTCCAGTTGCCGGCGCCTTGGAGGACGGACGCATCGTCGGGCTTCGCATGTTGCGCTTGGAACTCGAAAGGGTGCAAGGGCGCCGTCGCCTCTCTGGAGATGACCCAGTAGCTCAGGGCCAACAAGGCAATCATTGCCAAGCCGCCCGAACGGCGCGTGGCCCAGGCAAAGAGGGACATGATGCCTTGGACGACCGGGCGGGGGAGGAAGCGGGTAAGTATGTATGGCGTATTCAAAGGGAAGAAAGCGAAGCTTCAAAGGCTGCGAAAAAGAGATCTGAAAAGGCGATGAAGAGACAAGGCCCTATATGAACGTCTCACAGGTCCGGGGTGAAGGGTAAGAAGGGGGAAGAAGCAAGCTCACACCCGCAAGTGCCAACGGGAATGTGAAGGGTGTGGTTAATTGGTTACCTGGCAGAGTCACAAGCAAGAGACGAAGAGGGGATGAGAAAAAAGAAAAAAAAAAAAAAGAGAGAGAGAGAGCCAGGTGTGGTGGTGGGGTGTGTGGATGGGGGCTGGCGCAAAGATCACGGACAATCAAGTAAGCCTGAGGGAAGCCTTAATTAAGGGAACCCAGAGGGTTTGCAGGGGTCACGACTGGAGCAGGAAAGGTGAGGAAGGAACATTGAACGATCTTTGCCATACCCTCATGGAGCTCTATAGGATGAGAGCCATCCGGGGGTGTGTGGAGGAAAGAGAGTAGAGGTGAGGAAGGGATGAAGCAGGCACCTCGGCCACCTGCTCTAGACCCAACCCAGGCTTGTGTTATGGCCAGTACCCGGATCTGGATGACAGGGAGAGCAGGGAAACATGGTCTTCTTTTTTTTTTTCCTCGAGAAAAAAGAACAATCCCGTGTCACTCGTTCGAGGCTCTGGTGCAGCAACTTGAATGTGTGGGCTTGGTACCACGGGAAACGAAACGGGGCTGGACCTTGCTTCCTGGAGGTACTCTGTTAATAAACGGCAACATCAAATGGAATGTTGTTGTGTTGATGGTGTTCTCCGGGACAAGGGTCAACCACAGCCGCTCAGCATGGGTTTCGTTACAAAACGGTAAAAGGCAAGGAGGCCGGGACTCGGAGTGACGAACAAATAACCCGAACGGAATCTCGAACAGGCCGTTTTCTCGCTTCACAATTCATCTATTTTACACTCCACCTCCACCACCAGCCAACCAACCTTGTCTCCAGGGGGCAATTTAAAGCAGAGAACGCTAACCATAGCGTTGCGCCGCAAGTTGCGATACGGCAGCGCAAGGCAGACAGTGACCATCTCCCCCTTTGGAATGCTGCATACCGATACTTCAGACCAATATCCCTTGAAAACGCGCCAGGGCAACCATTGATCCAAAGCTAAGTGGGAGGGGCGGGGAGGAGGGAAGGGGAGGGGGCAACGACTGGGGAAGCAACGCTATTTTAGCACGGCGAATGAAGGGCTCGTCTTTGTATTTGGCCTGAGCACTACCGGTGGGCGATACTTTCGCTCCCCTTGCTTCCCGTGATCGTGGCAGCTTCCACCACATGCGGGACGGGAAATTGCGGCATCTCTGGCAGACCATCGTCTTCTCAGCCCAATCCTCGTTTCCCCCCTCTCTTTTCCCTTCATTCTTCACCCATTTGTTCTTTATTCCCTTTCACTTTCTCCGCGACTATTACCCCAACTGGAAAACCAACCACCCATAGCTAACTGTCTCCCTCGACGATACAGAAGAGGATCGAAACGGTAGAATGACAGTAATGGAATGGTGGTGGGGGCACAAGGGGACCGTCTACCGAACCGAGACTATTAGCAAGGGGCAATTGGGAAACCAAGTTTGCTCACAATCCATCCATGATGTACACCGCATCGGCCTCCCTCTTTCCTTTTTTCTTTTTTTCTTCTTTGTTTCCTGAGGGCCGGTCCGAAGTGGAGCATCGATGAGCTGTTTACCGGATCTGGTGGTAGACCGGATCGGAGATTGATGAGCGCCCAATAGGCTGGTCTCTTGCCCTCCATGTGGCACAGAGCACACCCACATTCGGCTACCGTTCTGCAGGACGGAGAGGACTCAGCCACGGTAAAGGGCGATCTCGCACCCCTCGACGAGCGCGATTTTTGCTTAATCTCGCACAAGGCGACTTTTTTGGTAACATCCTCCCTGCCAGGGACCTTCTCCAAGGAGGGGAGAGGCAGAAAAAAAGAAGGAAAAAAAAAGAAGGAAAAAAGACAGAAAGGAAGAAAAGAACCCAAGGAAAACTCCTCCTTTGCTGGATGACAGAGCGACCCACCATGTGTTGGGGGTCTGCGCGCCATATCAACACTTTGAGAAGCGCTGGTTCCACTGCCACGTTCTACACTCTTCAATGAGAACATTGAACGAAAGGCCCAAGGTTCACTGGCGTCGAGTCATTCATGGTGGCTCCCCATTCACCTACGGTGGTTTCATCCATCAACCCTTTGGCCCAGCCAGGGCCGATATTGCACAAGCCTGCATCTAATTAGGTGATGGGGAAGAAAAAAGGGGGCTCAGTCTCTTTGGTCAATGAAATCTGTCAATCAGAAAATTGCTTGCTTTTGCCACCAATCGATGTGTTACTGACCCATGGAACAGTCTTGTTGGCTGTTCTTCTTCACGACACGCGTCTGTCCTCGTCTTGATGGAGGCGCAGAGGTTTGACGGTCGACGGCACCGAGCGACAAATCCTCCTGCGGTCCAGAGTTCCCATGCCCAACCGCAAGGACCTCCAAGCCCTCGGCGGGTTGCTGAAGGAATCCTCGTGTTTGCTTCGCATCTCTGCATAGTACTTCTCAATAATATAATACTCATTAGATCCTATTCCGCATTACCGCATTATACCCTTGGGAAGGCGCAGTGAGTGACATCTATGGGTCCTCTTCTCTTGTCTTCCCTCCACCACACTCTTGCTCCGTTTCACTAATGCCTCTTGTCTAATAAAGTAAAAAGTATTTGCCTGTAAAAGAGTAGCCCTAAACAATCCCTAGCGGGGTCAAACATGTGGCCGTCAATAGTCTCGAGCCCTTGTCTCCAACTAAAAGCTAAACCTTCTAGGCTTGACCAGTTGATGCTGGAGACTCAATCAAGCCATTTGATCCATGGCCCCATGGCCCTCGAACCCCCAATGAACAAGGCAGAAATTGTCATCCATTTGACGATGGCTTCGTTTCAAGCCCATGCTCCCTTTTATCATTTCATCTCTTCGGCAATCATACTGGAGAACGCCACGGTCGTTGGAGAGGAGAATGCAACGCGACCATCAGAAGGAACATTCTCATTGAAAACATAACCGCCATTGGATGGCTTTGATCTTCGGCTCTGCTTTGCTCAAACAACCCCCTTCTTCGCAGCGACCCTTCCAGTCGGTTTTAGTGACCGCTCATGAGGGGAGAACAAATACGAGGCAGCAAGTACTGCATACATGCTACCGATGACGGTTGACCAATTCGGATATTGAGAGTGCTTGGACACCAATCGGCGACTTCTTTCGGCACCAAGACTACACTAGCTAATAAAAGCGAACAAGGAGAGAGAAGAAAAAAAGAAAAAAGGGCTGGAAACAAAAAGTGACCCCAAAATTCCTCGTGTAAGTGGCCGGCAATCGTTAGGCCAAGAGCTAACCGATCAAGTCTGGATCTTGACGCGCCCGCCTCAGACCTCCAACGGCATAGCGCACACACTTTGCTTCAATAGCACAAACTACTTGAAGAAGGAATCTCTGCGCTTTCCCCTGTCTAAGAAGAAAGGGCAAAGGAAACGAGAGTCGTGGAGATGCTTGCTTCGAATAGTCTAGATTTTAAAAGAAAAATGCACTTGCTTCCCTTTTGAAGCGAACCATGTTCCCCATGCTCGTGGTGAAACAAATCTGTAAGTGGATGAAGCTTGTCACAGTTGCTCCATGTCGACATGGATCAATGTCACCGCAAGAGGCAGACTCGCCAGCGTAAAGCAGAAATTGCATGTACGGTAATGACAATAGCTCGAACCGACCATTCTTCATTCTTAGAAAAGCAAATTAACTAGCCCCCAATAGAACCCTGAGTAGGATTCGGATGTAACCTTGAAACACCCAATTGATCCATCCGTATGGTTACGGACTATGGAAATAACAATGAACTAGTGGTAAGGCGCCATCAACGACGGCTCAACGAACCCCGGCATGGACTGATGGCATGGCATGGCATAATAGTGCAGTACCTTCCTTTGGATTCTGGTGAACGGCAAGGCGGAATTCTCTCTCAGTACAGTCTCGGGACGTGTGTTCGCAAGAGGGCCCGTGTTGATTACAAGGACCGTAGAGAAGAAGAAAAAAAAAAAGAAGGACAGTTCAGATGATCTTGCTGGGCGCGGCTCTCTCGACCATTGGGCCGCTCTCACCAGGCCCACGCCCCCAATCACCCGGCACACGTTTTCGCACCCTCGTTCTCCAAGGGTCCAGTCGACAACCACCCTTGTGGTACTTGTAGGTGCGGAATGTAGTCTATTTTTCTTTTTCTTTCTTTTTGGCGTCTTCTCCCTTTCTTTAAAAATTATTTTTCTCCAAGAAATGATCCCTAGTGTAGGTGGGCGTTAACTAGGCGAACAGGGAAAGGTCGGGCGCAATGAGGGGGCCACATCGACACACCAACCACCACGGTTGAAAAAAAACAGGACGAGAAAGATGGAAAGAAAAAAAGACGATCAATATTACCCAATTTGAGAAGACTGGACAAAAACCACAGGCGCGGGTTGTGGTTTTAAACTCGCTTACCATTGGTCTGATTCGACCATCCCAGCCAGGGTCGATCCCAGGGCCACGCCTTGTGGATTCGGCCCGGGACTGGCTGGTTCAAATCTCCCCAGATCCCGCAGCCCTGTCTGCTGCTGCTGCTCTCTCATCTGCTGCTCGATTCCCATCATGGACCCCTGATGAGCAGATGACCCGTCGCTCTGTCGCTTCCCCCAAAAAGATGCTTGCTGCCATCCTAAGTGAAAACGGATGTTAATCAAGTCAATCCGTTATCTTTGCTCCTGCTTCGATATTTTCTCCTTCTCATTTAGTGTAATTAGGATAAGCGCGCGTAGCGGATAACAAATGCATCTGCACTCTTTGCAAATAGCACATGTCAAAAGAGCCCAGCTCTGACTGGAGCATCGGGGAAGTGCTTCTATCCTAGAAAGACGAGACACATGACTGATCCATGACAAGCACGTTGGGCGGTAATAGCGCAGTGGGAGATAACAAGAAAGAACGAGGGTTCTCCACCCCCTGTCTACCCCGAGGAGTAGTGACGATGCAGGATGATGTAGCTAAAGGCCCACCTCGCTGCCGATCGAAGAACCAATGCTCTTGGCCTTGTCTCGCGCATTGGGGACGAACCCGGGGAGAAAGGGACTCTTCTTGAAGCTCCCCAAGAGGACAATTCAACGGGCAAACGCTGCTCTTCCGTGCTTTATCGAACGGAGGGAGGGAGATGGTGTGTGGACGAGGCCTCGCTCCCTCTCTCACTCTCATCTAGGACGCCGTCTCTTCTACTTCGTCCTTGACAGCCATCTCGGGTCAAGCCGGAATGATGAGGGCATCCCAAACAACCCCCACTACCTGTCAAGGTGGGGGAGAGGTGTTCCTGTTCACGGGGCATCGCCACTTGCGGGGAGCCAAGACTCTTGAGAGCTTGTCGTCTTGGCCTGCATGGGTTTAAAGAAAATGCGTCGCCCAGAAGTTTTTTTTTTTTTCATCTGGCCCTTGATGGAAAGATTAACCGAAACGCTGGTAACAAGATAATACAAGAAAAGAAAAAAGTATTGTGCAATCCGTTCTGATACAAGCGATAGGTAATAGATAGGAGTCCATATGTTGTTCAATGCGGCCACCTGTGCGTCGCTGACACGGATGAGTAGATGAGCCCAGCTGGCAAGTCTTCCGGCCTCAAACCATTAGTTCCCGAGATGGCTATGATATCACCAGGTGGCACAATGCCCATAGCTCTGTTGATGGTGAAGGACACTTCTTGGTAAAAGAAACCCCTCGGTCAGTGCACTGGTTCTACGCGAGATCTGGTTTATAGGGACGCGGGAAAGTGGCAGGTGGTTGCTGCAAGTCTCGCGGTTCAAGTGATGGAGGATGCGCCGCAGACCGAGTCGCAAAGATTTGACCAACGTTGTCTCCGATCCGCGTAGCATCGCTGGAGCGGAGTGTTGGCTGGGGGCTACGTGCAAGTACCCTCTTTCTAAGACTAGATCCTAGAGCAAGCGATATATTCTTGCTGGAAGGAATATCGGATCTCACCCAGGCCCCTGCAGCCTCAGCCTGAAAAGATTAGGCGGACTGAGGTTCTGCGTCTGAGGCGAGAGGGGGATCAACGAAGGAATAGTAAAACTTGGGCCTTTCAGTGACAAGTCCACAGCTGTTGTTTCGGTTGCAAGGGGTTCCAAGACCGACGAGCTGGGTCAGTTCTTAGATTGGATTGGATCTCTCTGGTGTCTAGATGCACCTTCCAGGTTGCTTGCTCAGTTACCTCGTGGTGCCTATGGATGAGTAGAAAGCTAACTTGTAGCACCATTTTCTACACCTATTGCCTGCTCCTTAACGTGTCTCCAAGCCCGTAGTAAACGTAAATCGAGCAAGCTCAACAATGAATTTATCGGTTCTGTTTCTCATTTATCTAGCTAGCTATCAATATCTCGAGGCTGTTCTTCTACTCTTAGCCTTCGCTGGCTGTCATCACAACGTTGTATCGCCGCATGGACGTGACAAAACTGTCCGAGCCGTCCTATGGCGAGGAGAAAGCTTCGTCAATCGCAAAGCTCTAGGCTTTGCCTCGGCGTAGTCGAGGCACGGTAGGCACTCAAACCACTCGACGTATAGCAATCCAAACCTAGACGGGACGGTACCGTTCATGCCCACGTTTCTTCAGCCTGCCATCCGACTTACTGTGGTGCATTGAAGACACAGGGTCCACCCGAGTAGTGACTTTGAAGAAGATGCAATTCAGATGCAAAGGCGCAGACCGATTCAGTAGTTTGATATCTGGGCTTAGCCGAGATCTAGACCTGGTGTAGTATATGATGCGTATCTCTCGAGTCGTGCCAAGATAGAAGCGGGGATAGTTATCTGCACGTTTCATTGTAGTGAAGACTCATAATCCTCATCGCCTGGAGTTCCATGATAAAGCGAAGGCCGTGCTTCAGGTGTAGTGGTCTTGCGGATGCCATCGCCGGCATGTCCATCTATCTTGTCTAGTCCATATAGGATCCGAAACAAAAGGTCTGCCGTCAAAGGATCGATTCCTTGGGCCCAGTCTAGGGTTAGGGTAACTTTAGGACTTGTTTAGACGAAGGGCGTAGACTGGATATGGCCTGCTTTCGTATGATGTATGACGAAGGGCATCGTATTGCGGCTGGTGGTTCCGAGACAAGCACTGCGTAATCAGGGTGGCTTGGGGAGGGAGGTGAGTTTGAGTTTGGAACGCGGTTTTCCATGGGTTGATTTTAGTCACCGCGAGATGGCTAGGCTTGGTGCGCAAGAGGGGCCCTCGAGGGGGTTCGGCACATATGACGTGGGTAACACAATCCGGAGGACACCTTCCACCAACAGGAAAACTGGTTTACGGTATAGAAATCGCAGCGGTGAGCCAACAGGGAGTCAAGGGCAAGACGGACATCCGCGGGAGGAAGGTAGTCACGTTTGGGAATGTGGTAGTTGAGGTGCTAGCGGAGGCTTAGACGACCTTTTCAAAACGCTTCTGGATGGGCTTGGCAGCCTATATCATTCATTCCTTACGTTAGCCATTACGTATGCGCAGAATACGGAGGGGATACGGGAGGGGCAAGGAAATCCACGTACGTCGATGAACCTTTCGAGGTCTTTATCAAGGTTGGCCAAATCATCCTTTCGCTTCTTATTCTCGGCGATGAGTTTGGCTTTGCGTTTCAAAAGTTCTTGCCTTTGCTGCTCGAGAGTCTCACGCTCGCGTCGCTCGTGGTCGATTCGAGCGACCATCAGGGCATTCTCATCTGCGTCCGCATGCTCCGGGTGCTGCTCGAGGAACTCTTCGGCGGGTATAAGGGGCAGCTGCGTGTATTTGTGACTGCTTCATGTTAGCCGGACAAATCTCGACGACATGAATCGAACGGTCAAAGGCGTTGCCCTGGTGCCTGGCCCCTACTTGGGAAGAGAGAAAAAGGAAGAAGAGCTTGAGGGGGACATACTCGTAGGACTCGCAAGCAGAGATTTCGCCACCAAGATGTCGCTGCTCGTAGTAGAGATTCTGGAGCTGCAGGTGCAGACGATCGACTTCTTGCCTTGCCTCTGCCGTCGAGGCCTTGGTCTCACGGGCCTCGAGATTGGCGACGCGGTGGAGACCGCGCAGGTGTGCAATGTTGGTGAACATGAGCTTCTGCTGCTTCAAGACGTTGGCTTGCGCTTCGGGCGTGAGGGAGCCCGCGTCAGACTGAATTGTATCGGAGAGGAGGGTGAGGAGATCGGCGGCCTGGTCGCGTGCGTGGGCTGCGATCTGGAGAACAGCACCTAGGCTGGGTTCGGTGACGATCTGATCGATGGCCATTGTGTTGACTTGGAGCGATTCGTGGCTCGTATTCTATTTTCTTCCCTTTCGAAGTTTGATTGCGCAAAACGTGGATCGTGGTGAATGTCCTGTGATGATGGGAGTGGTGCGTTGCTCAATTTGACAGGAATACCGAAAGAATCGCGTAGCACTTTCTGTTGGCTGTTTGCTTGGCCGTCTGCCTCTTGAGGTTGAAAGAGCGGATTGTGCCCCGTTTCACCGCCAAAACCTGAAAGGAAGCTTCGCCCCATCCCCAATCGAGGCATTCTTGAGTCTCGACCTTGCAGCTCGGGCCAAGTTCGGGTGAAGGAGCGTTGGTTCCTTGCTTCCCGACAAGGGCGGCGACCATGCCCGCTTGCCCACTTGCCCACGTAAGCTAATATGGGAAGCAACAATATTTTCTGGAACCTCGGCCGTCGCAACCGTTCAATTGGACCAAGCTGCCAAGACGCCTCCCCGCCCCACCAATCCCTTTGCCTGTCGATCCCTTGTTGCACAGCAGCAGCGAACAGTTGAGGGTCGCTCTTTGTACTAGTACAGAATCGGTCAAGAAGCCGTCTACTGCATCGCGAGTACCTGAGACGGGCCCAAACCTTCTTCTTTCCCGAGACCGATGACGGGGCACCAAACAAGACCGCCCGCCACAGGGCTTTCAATGTTCCCTTTTTGGTCCAGGATTTAAATGTTGAGAATCGCTGGGATGCGGGATGTAGAGGCCTGTCGCGGACCGCTTGTGAAAAAAGGAAAGATTCGAGACCACTGGTTGAGAAGCTGACGGGACTTGATTCAAACCTTGTGCGAAGGAGCGCACAGTGCATTGGCGATATTCTCTCATGTGTGTTAACACTTCTCATGTCTTCAACTGGTCTATCGGAAAGGGGCTAGGATGCTCGTGTATGATCAATTGATGTGAGTGGAGGAGAATCATCTGTCCAATGCCCTCTCCCCCGCAGGAGAAGGCGTCGAGTAAGTATTCTGGCGTACGTACTTTCTTGCCATGCCGAGCCTCCATCACAGGGAAGGATCCTGATCCGAATTCCCGCTTGGGTGAAGAGGCGCTACGAGTGTTTCTCTTGGCGAGTGCCCCGAGCCCACAAATTTCGACATGGGGCACCGAGCCTATTGGGCCCAGCAGGCTCGATGCACGGAAAGGGGAAAGTGGATGGTCACCCGCCAATTTCCGCCCGCCGAACTTGGCCGTTCCTGGGGATCATCTCCATCGCTTCATTGATTTGAATCCCAATCAAGCAGAGAGCGAACGGGCTTTGATTCTTTTTCCAGTGCTCAGTGCTCTCTTTTTCTTCCCATTCTTTCGTGTAAAAGGTCCAGAGCCGCAAATTTTAACAGGTTTTTGTTTCTTATTGTTCCTTCTCTCACTCCCATCTCCTTCCCGTTCACCCACACTGAGGCCGAAGCAAGGGCGAGTTAGCCTTCGACTCTGGCGTATCTACTTCGTAGTTTGTCGTTGTGGCGGATCAAGATCCCAAGCCAAGCCCGCGCGCCCCCACTTCTTGAGACTTCTCAAGCCTTCAACAATAATAAGCCTGCAGCCCGAAACCTCGCTCTCAACCCTCTGCAGGTCTTCTCGAAATATCAGAATCACTTTTTTCTTCTGTTCCTTTTGAGGCATTATCCGTTGAAGCCCCTCTTTCTCCATTCCCCTCCCCATCTCCACCTCTTCATCCCGACGCGGTAATCCCGAAGGACGCTCCGCTTCCTTCTGTGTATTCCCCTCTCCTTGGACGTTCGGCAGCGTAATCCTAACAAGCCGTCGAGTTCCTTGAACCCTTTCTTCTCTCGCCCCCTTTAAGCCAAGCCCTGGCTACCATCAATCCTTTCCATCTTCCTCCCTGTGATCGGTACTATTTTCTCCCTCCCATCCTTCCGACAGCGCCCTGCCAAAGCCACAGCAAGGCTTGACAAACCAATCTTCGGTCTTTTGTCCCTTGGTTTTTCCTTCTTTAAAAAAAAAACAAAGAAAACAAAGCATCTATACAAATTTAATCGCTTCCGTCCGGGCCCTCGTTCCGCTTTTTTTTTTTTCTTAACGCATTGCGCCGAATTTCCACTTGAGCGCATTCCCCGAAACCCGAGTGAACCAAACAAGTTGATCGACGTCTCGCGCTTGTCTTTGCCGTGTTCCCAATAGTCCATCAGTCCCTCGATCCTCGAACATCGCTCCTCTAGAACCGAACGCCTTTACCTGAAGCATAAATCGGTGCTTGGAGGCTCCTACTCTTGGTTTTTCCTTCCTGTTTTGAGGCAAGAAATCTCGGATCGATTGGAAGTGGATTGAAGGTCTACAACAACTGGGCGACCAACGTCTCGCTTCGTGTTCCTGAACGTCTGCGCCAATTGCGGCGTCGTTCGCACACGTTCACCCACACCACGCCTCCTGCATATTACCTCGTCTCGGGCAGCCTTTGTCGAACCGTATGGCCGATATTCAGGTCCACAGCTCCTAATCCCACCCTCGATCGTACCTAAACAGCCCCCTCTGGGCTCTAACATCTTTTTTACCTACCTCGTCATTCCTTTGCACATCGTACACTATGGATCTTTCTTCCGAACTCTCCACAATGCCCACCGGCTGCGCTTCTCCCCCTCTGAAGATGGGGCGGCCATGGCTACTAGCACAGATGTAGGCTCTACGAGCCTCAGCGGACCCAGGCGTCGAAGACGGCACTCGTTTTTCATCCCTCGGAGGAAATCTCTAGTCCACCAGATCATAGACACCGAAGAGGGACTGTTGCTCAGGGTAGGTCCATACCCAATCCTGGCCCGAGCCTGACATCCCCTCCTCTCTTCTTCGGACTACCCTCTTTGCAAGTAAAGCAGCCCGTCTCCTAACACTTTACTTTAGGTCTCCATCTTCCTCACCGAACTAGAACGACGACTAGAACAGATCGAGAACGAAGCGGACCTCAAGGTGGATTCGAGCATCTCTAAGGCATTTGCCACCCTACAGGAGATTCGCGCCAGGTGCTCTTTGCCTCGGAAGAGGTAATTGGCGCCGGCCGTAGAAGGTTGCACATCATGGTCGAGACGCTCGAGAGCCGATATAACGATGCCCTCGCCGCTGCCGAAGGCCTCAACGAGAAGGCCTGCCTCGGAATCGAGCTCCTCGATAGCATGTTGACCGAATTCGAAAGCCGTGCGTACAAGTTGAGGGAGCAAGGGCTTGCCAATGCCGCCGACACGGCCACGGCACTGCTAGACGAGGGCCGCCATGCGGTGAACGGAAGCCTCGAGAGGGCCAAGGAGGTGGTGGAGGAGAGCATGGGGCGGGCTATGCGCGCCGCCGAGTCCCTCGAAGAGCACATCCAAACCGCCATCGCCAGGGCGAGGGAAACTCGGTTAATACACTACGACGACCTCCCCATGCCGTGGAGGATCAACCCCCACATCCGCAAGGGTTACCGCTTCATCGAGACCAAGACGGACTGCGTATACTCGGCGTTCAGCCTCTCCAACGAGCTCGTCAACATCTGGTCCCACGCCGTCGGCTTCGTCGTCGTGCTCTCGATCGCTCTGTACTTTTACCCCACGAGCCCCAACTTCTCCACCAGCTCCAAAACCGACATCTTCATCGCCGCCGTCTTCTTCTTCACCGCGTGCCTCACCCTCGCGTGCTCGACCGTCTGGCACACGATGAACGCCGTGGCCGACGTGGACGCCATCTCGCTCTTCGCCTGCGTCGACTACACGGGCATCAGCGTCCTCATCGCCGCCTCCATCATGACGACGGAGTGGACCGCCTTTACTGCGACCCCGTGAGCCGCTGGATCTACCTCAGCATCACCACCTTTTGGGCCTCGGCGGCGTCATCCTCCCGTGGAACCCGCGCTTCAACGACGCCAATATGGCCTGGCTCCGCGTGGCGTTTTACGTGGGCCTCGGCGCCACCGGCTTCCTCCCCATCCTCCAGCTCTGGTTCACCCACGGGCCCGACTTCGTCTACGAGTTCTACTCGCCCATTGCCGAGTCCATCCTCGTCTACCTCGTGGGCGCCCTCGTCTACGCCAGCAAGGTCCCCGAGCGGTGGTGCCCCGGCATGTTTGACTACGTTGGCGGCAGCCACAACCTGTGGCATTTGGCTGTGCTTGGCGGCATCCTTTTCCACTACACGGCCATGCAGCAGTTTTTCAGCAACGCTTTCCAGAGAGCGCAGAGCGGATGCCCCGTGTACTAGGCACAGCCCATGGACAGAGAGTAGGCGCTGCAGTCGCCTGACTTTTTTTTTTTTCCTTCTCGGCGTGGCTTGGCTTTTGGTAGGGGAGAATAAGAAATAATGAAAGAGAGAGTGAAAGAGAGAGAGCGAGAGACGCTCCTCATGAGACGAAATTTGTTTTTGAACACGCATAAAAAGCATTCTTGAAGAAGCAGGTGGCGGGCCGCGTGGATGTGCGCCTTGGGTGCCATGACTTTTTCGGGACGGGGGTTGGAAATGCATTTTCTTTTTTTTTTTCATTCGTATATTCATTTCATCCTCTTTTTCGATTGCATCTTGTGCTTTTCCAAGCACATGTTCATTCTTCAAAAACAAAAAGGCCAAGCAGGGATATGTGTATCCTAAATGAGTGATGCCGCCCTCTTTCCTTTTACCTTGTTCCTCTCTCCTTGCACTCTTGGTGCGGGGATATATATATAATAATGAATGCGACCTATCGTTACAAGCACACGAAAACCACGCCGAAAAACAGATATGAAAAAGAAAAAAACCGGTGTAACTAATGGAAACAAGATTTCAAGTCTAGAATAAATCCCCTAATGAATGTGTGAGAGACGGAAGAAGAAATGAATGTGTTGACGAGGGACGGAAGCAACTCTTTCTCTGACGAGTTGGCCAACGGTGACGGGCACGCCCAGCGAGCCCACAGCGGTCCATCCCCGGGGGCTTATGTCGCGAAGACGGCGACCACGAGCGCAATGGCCAAGCTGAACAGGACACCGCCGCCCTGGGCGGACGGCCCCTGCGAGACGATGACGGGCGTGGTGGACCGGTTCCCGGTAAAGTTGCCGGGGGCGAGCGATCCGGTGGGCAAGGGGACGACGACGATGCCGCCGGTGCCGGAGGCGAAGCGCGCCGTCGTGGTGGCCGCGGCGCTGGTGGCGGTGGCTAGCCCCGTCGTGGTGGCCGTGGTTGTGCCGTTGCGGACTCGTTCGTGCTTGCGGCCGCCGCCGTTGTGGTGTTCGTGGTCAAAGGTGTTGGCGGAGAAGTCGTCGTCGCTGCCGGAGGCGCTGGCGCTGGCGGCGGAGGCGGGGGCTTGGAAGCCGGCGTTGGTGGAGCAGGCTTCGAGGTTTTCGGACTGTTGTGGCGGGTGGAAAGGTTGTGTTAGTGCTTTTGTCTCGTCTGGTTTTTTTCTTTTTCTTTACCCTCCCGATCATGCTTGTCGGTTGGGTTTCGACTTACCTGGAGGCAGCAGTATCCCGCTACTGGCGCGCACCAAGAACCTGCGCTGCAAAAGCTGTAGTCTGTCTCGGAGCAACACGTCTGTTCCCTCGCTGTTAGCTACTACTCTTCTTGATCAAGGCGGGGAACCAACGGGGGGGCGTTGGTCCTATAGATGTTCTCTTACCTGACCCTCGGCTGGGTTGAAGCAGTACCCGCTCTCGGCGGGACCGCACTGCTCGAAGCCCTCGCCGTGGCTCTCTTGGCAGGTCTTGAGGGCTCGTTTGCTGAGTGTGGCGCTGGACCTGGTAGGGTTGAGCGCGGTCGCGGTTGCGACAAAGGCGAGGAGGAGGCTGAAGGGATGCATTTTTGGTGTTCGTTTTTGTAAGAGCCTTTCTTCTAAAAGGAATAAAGGAGCAGTGGATAGGGTAACGGCGACGACGATAAAGTCAAGGCGCTGTGTCGTCGGATTCGTTGTCGTTGTTGTATCAGTGGTTTTTGGGGTCAAGTGTACATGCACGTAGAGAAACCGGACGGAACGACCATGCCCAGGATATAAAAGACTACCAGGCCGAGTAAAGACAGGCAGGGGGCCAGGAGAAGAGGGAGGATGAGAAGAAAAAGAAAGAAGAGAATGCAAAAGGCGAGATTCTTAAGAGCAGGGGAGGGAAAAAACCAAGAAGATTTTCAGCTCATCTGTTCATGCAAGCATTCACAACCAGGGAAAGGGTAGATGGTAACCGCAAAAAGATCAGATATCGGGATGAAAGGGCCTTGATCCGCGTAGTAGTTGGAGCAAGGGAAAAAAGCATTCGGATTAACAAGATCAGCACGAGTTGGCCTTGGGTTCTTCTATATCTTTATCGTTCAAGGGGCGGGGGCAGAAGAGAAAGTGCGGAAGAAGGCGAAACGCGTTGACTAACAAGGCCGCATCCACCATCCACGCAAGCAACCATTCGTACACATATAATTCTGGACGATATTAACAGTTCCTCGCTCCTTTTTTGGGCATTTGAGGGAGATATTCCTCCTTCCTTGACGTACTTGTACTAATGCTCGACGTATATCCTTGGGTTAATCCCACCAGTCGGTCCACCCTTGTCCTTATGGGACATCCTTGCTAGTTTCATGAGGCCCGAAGAAAGAAGGGAAGCCCCGGTCGTTCCCCAGTGGCTTGATCCGAGCCTCTTCCGGGAGGTGGTTCGTCACACCCCATCCAGATCCAGATCCAGGCACACACACGCACCACATGCACACAACATGCCCCTTGGTTCTCCCTTTCCCCCTCCCTCTTCTTTCCGTCCCTTGCACTCACACATCTCCCCCACCCTACGGCGCCGGCTTGTTACTCAGCCCCTCCCCCGAGGCCTCGGGCAGCACTCGTGGTTTCCTTGGCCGAGGACACAAGCTGAGTAACAAAGGTGCTTTTTTGTGGAGCGATACTCACTCAGCGTCGGGATGGGTGAGAATGGTGGTGGTGTGCTGATACAAGTTTGCTTCAATCGATCGAGAGAGCACGGGTTTGAGGGACGTTAATTGGTGGCTCGCTCCACTCCGGTAGGGGGATATTCAGTTGATCCCTGGATCTGGCTTTTTATGATGGCCTTTCTTTTACATGTAGTACATGTAATAATCTTCTTTTTCTTGGTATCACATATGTCTTTCCCTCTCTTTAGCCAAGTCTCTCTCTTTCGCCAAGGGGGCGCTATTCTTTTGACGATCGTCCATTCGATCAATGACTTTGAGTGGAGGGAAACTGGAGCCGCGGGTTTAGGAGATGGGGTGAAACTTGACGGGACATGAAAAAATCAGGGGACGATTGCCCGGTGCTCGTCTCCTTTGGGGTCTCCTTTGTCGCGTTCCAGGTGGTTTGGCAATGGGAACGATTGAAGGCCACTGGTGATTTCGGTTCGCCACAATTTCTTTTACCGTCGAGAGTTGCCCGATCCATGTAATCTCCTCCATCGTCAAGACTGCTTCTTGATCTTTCTTCATTCCATCTCTGCTTTTTTTTGTTTTTCTTCATCTTTTTCGCCTGCTATTTACAATAGATGTTGATCTCCCTCGTAGTCTATTAGTCAATCCGTTACATGTACTCCTGGACTAGAACAAATGTCCAAGCAGGCCAGACCGGGCGCTGGGGATGATTGTCCCTGGACGAATATATTGAGGTGGGTGCAATTGCAAATGGGAAAGGGGACAACGACCCGGATCTGCGCCATTACGCGAGAGAGCAATACTTTGGTTCCTTCAATTTTCCCCGGTAAAAAATATTGGATCAAGTGCAAGAGGATAAAAAGACAACGAGAGGGGAGGACAATGCCTTGTCAATCTGGAGCATCAACGTAGATCAATCGATCGATCCTCTTTCATGCGACTCCCTGGAAAATGCGACGAGCAGACCGCACCCCATCCTACTCCGATGCTCGACATGAATGATTGCGACGAACAATCGGCACGATCCCCGCGTGGACAGATCATCGACGCAACAAAACCACAAAGCGCCCAAAAACAGAAAAACGGCCGTCCAGTTGACCACCCGGTGCCAAAAATCCCCTTGGCGGAGGGGGCCATCATCGGTCCTGCATCTCTGATTAAGAGCCCGCATGAAAGAAAACAGGATAAGAGAAAATAGGTGGACGACCCTCGTCGTCCTGCAACGGCTTACGTGGGCGACCCTCCGTGTCTTCAAGTTGTTGCTGGCCCTGGTTCAAGCTCGTTCAAGTGAACAACGCCCCGCGACAACGACGAGAGTCCCCGCACTTTCGCCGCGCGGACACTGACGTCCCTGTGGCTGGTTTCCCTCCTCTCCGCTCACGTTCTTCTTCTGTCTTCTTGTAATACATGTTGCTCCGCTTTCGTAAGAATATTGAAATGTGAAACGTCAACACACGTGGGAACGGAAAAAGGAAGCATCTAGTCCGTCCCTCGTCCTGCTTCAAGTGATTCTTTCGAGGCTTGAGTTGTGGCGCTTGTCTGTGGGTTCTCACTGCATCGGCCCCCTCGAGATCGTGTGGAGCTGCCACATCGTTTATAAATAGATCTGCTGCAGCTGAAGCCAGAACCCATCGGCCCATCGGCTCCTTGATTTGTCCCTCCACGGGCCCGCCTCCCGGTCGGCCATCACCTCAACTTGTCAGCTACTACTGCCCATTGGCAAAAAACAGCGCTCCCTTGATCTCTCTAACACCACTTGCGACCCTGTTTGTGGCATGGGAATTTTTGGAAACGTCACTGTTTCCCCAAGCGTTCCCTAAGCTGAAGAAGAGATCGCTTTCGGTTTCAAAACACTCTGATGTATTATCCCACCAGCTCCGTACGTCCGCGATACTAAGTGCCGTGAGATGGTATCGAGGGCGCGGCCACATCGATCATCGTGACCGAACCCTCTTACTTCTCTCCGAGATTTTCACCCATCCTCGTTGTTGCAAGGGATACCCTGGACCTAGATTCGCGTGGTAGATGGGCCAGTCATCCTAGAACGAGACTCCAAAAAAGACGGGCAAAACTCTCAAACTGTCATGTGGCGTTGGCCATCAACCAGCTTCGCACGCTAGCCCTGGCAGTTTCGGGTGCTTGCCTGCTCGACGATATCTGCTGCTGCTGCTAGCTTCACCGATTGGATTATCCCGCCGTATACGGCCGACCTGCCAAATGGCCTCGTAGACATCCAATCCCTCTCTTCCTAGAAGGGGAGTCTGCTTCGAGGCAGACTGTCCCGCATCCAAACTTTGGCCCGCCTTCCAAAAGTGTCTGTAGGGCTGGAACTGAAAAAGTCTCCCTTGGCGATCGGTCGACAGGCTACGTCTATCTCCAGTGCCCTCCTCCCTCTATCGTGAAGGTGCCAGGACTAGCTAGTGCGAGCCCCAACTGATCTATCTACCTGCACCATATTTAGAATGCCGACAGCGCCGTTCCCAAGAGGAGGACGGACTGCTCCTTCTCCAGGTTATTTCACGTTTCACAAAGCCACGGCGCACCACGACAAGGCAACGGTTTGGAACGCGGATCTTCATAGCTTCTTTGCAAATCGTGCATTCATCTTTGTATTTTTCTCGTTTCGTAACCCATTCCCATCGTGCCCTATTTCGTCAAACCCTTCCGTTTCGTACATGAAGAACAATAAAAAAAGTACAGGATGAAGCGGCAGGGGAGAACCGGAGGGAAAAAACAAGAGCAAGGAACAAAAGGATCTCCCTAAAAACTCCGAGTGATAACCATGCCTAAAACAAAACAAGCTTCTGACAAAACGACTAAAAAAGGACAAGGACAGCATCATACGAAGTAAACGAAAAAGAAAAAAACGCCCGGTTATGAACAACAAAGGAGATGGCCGTCATATCCTTCGGCGGACTGGAACTTGCGGTGCGTGAGATGTAACCCCCTTTTTGCGCCCCAACCCTTCAGCCTTGAAAGCTTGTTTTTTCTTCCGTTCCAAGCTCTTTCCTTCTCGAAGGGTATGTGTGGGCTGAGGCGGCCAAAGAGGGCTAAAATGGAGGGGGAGGAAAACGACAGGTTGAGAAGTAAAGGAACCAAGGAAACAAAAATTGTGTCAGGGCGTCGGCTGGTCTGGAGGGAACGCCTGGCCCTGTGGAAACAGACAAGTGGAGGTCTTCCATCCCGTCAAGGACAAGATCGTTGCCGTGGAACAGACTCAAGCGCTTCTCGATCCTACTGAGCATGCGATACAATCTCGGCGTAGACGTCTCTCGGGATCCTCTGCAAGATGGTAATGGATACCCTCTTGATCAAATCCGCCTGCAGTGCGGGGAGGGATCGCAACAGGTTGCCGGGGCTGATAGGGAAGAGAGTTAGCCATCGTTCTGTCAACCCTTTACATCGAATCTTCCGAGGGAGGTAATGAAAGCGAGAAAAAAAGGGGGAAAGTTGCTTACCTAGGAGACTTGAGAATCTTGTCCCGCATCAAGTGCAGCTGCGCCACGATGCAGAGGATGTTCAGGTGCGGCCCATAGGCGAACAAAAGTCCCACAGCCGGAGCACCTCGGGCAAGGGCGGGTGCACGCGCACAGCGTGAGCACCGAGGGGAAGGCGTAAATCTCCGCCTTGAGCCCCCTGGAGGTGAGGTACAGGCTCAGCTTGGGGTCCACGATGGCGAGCACCTTGTCCACGAGGGCGAGGCCCTTGTGCACGCCGTCCATGGCGCCGCGGATGTAGCCGGGGCACTCGCGCGTCAGCAGCGTGTGGAACCCGATAAAGGCCTCGGCCTCGCTGCGCGCCGCGTACAGGAACGGCGCCGCCAGCACGTTCATGCCCTGCACATACGTGCCCGACTCGGGCGCGTGGCTCGTCTCGGAGCTCTCCGTCGTCAGCGTGAGCGCGCGTGCCCGGTTCTTGGCTGCTGGAGAGGATCCGGCCGTGACGGGGCGCGAGTCGCTACCACCACCACCGCCACCGCTTAAACCGCCGCCTAGAATGCCGCCCAGACCGCCGCTGAGCGACATGTTGTCGGGGGCGAGCGAGGACCGGCTGCTCATCGGCCTTTCGCGGCGGCCGGCCTCGCGGGCGTCGTGGAGCTTCCAGGCGATGGCGTTGAGAAGACGAATGAGGCTGGCCTCGCTGACTCGGCGGCGGAACAGGGGATCGGTCGTGAGGGTGCGAAAGGTATCGTTACGGATTTTGGAGTAGGCGGGCGACGCGCCCCGGTGGATGAGGGCGAGGTAGTCGTCGGTGGATAGGATGGGGGCGTCGAGAAGGATGAGCCATACGTATATCCGCAACGAGGACTTCCAGAAGGTTAGCAACGGTACACTGGTTGGAAAAGAAGGAAACAAGAAACATCTCGCTGGGATTGTATCGCGAATCGCGATTCTCGACTTACCATGCCGTCGCTATCGCTCTTGATGCCCTCGTCAAGGATCTTGTAACGGGCCGCCTCCAACGCACCAACAAGATCCCCGTCCGGCGGACCATCCCTCACCAGCTGCTGCAACGACAGGTTGGCGTGCGCCAGGGGCGTCTTGCGGATGGACTGCTGGTGCTGGCCGCTGTGATGCTGCCTGGACGAGACGGTGCTGGCGGTGGCGCCGGACCCGCCCAGCGCGACGGGATGGATGTGATGCTTATTGGCGGCGTCGCTGCTGGCGCGCTCCCGCTGCTTCTGCGGAGAGCGGTTCGCGTAGCCGCCGCTGACATCCCGCTTCACCGGGGAGGCGGATCGTTGGGGTAGGTTCTGCAGCTGCTGGTGCTGTTCCCGGAGACGCTGCTGGGTGATGAGGGATGCTTGGCTCGAGGCCTTGGAGCCGAGGGTGTGAGCCGACTGGAGACGCCGTAGGGTACGGTGCGTTCGCGGTGACGGGGGCGGCTGGAGCTCCGTCGCCAGAGGAGGCAGAAGAGGCCGGGTTGCTTCGCCGGGGAGCGGCATCGCGGGCGAGTGGATCGCGAAAAGCGGGTCGCGAAGGGTTTCCGAGGTGTCGAGGGGATAGGTCTTGAGGAAAGGGGAAGGCGACGCAGGCCGGGGTTGTGGTTTTTCTTTGATATCGTGGTCCACACAGGCCAGACTCGACTCTTGGACTTAAAGGGTGGGGAGGTGTGAGGGGGGCGGCCGAAATCAATTCGTAGCGTTGGGGAAAGGAAGGGGGAAGAAAAAAATAGCAGGAAAAGAAAAAAAGAAAAAGAAAGAAAAAAAGAAAGAAGCTTCACCGGACGAGGCAAGGGTCTTGCGCAAGGGACCTTCAATTGGAATTCACCGAGCGCGTGGTGCCGACTGTTCTGTTGGAGCTGGAGACAGACGAGGCGGGGAAAGGCAGGAGGTTGGGTTGTGTGAGGCTCTCTGGAATTTTGCAGGCTCGTTCGCGGTCCAAAGAGCGAATGGCCCTTGATGGCGGCAAAAGTCGACCGCGTGTGCCGCGTCGATTTCGCGTTTGCGCAACGCTGAACGCACTACGGAAGGGCGACGACGGCTTTGGAAGTTTCAAGTGACACCAATTTTTATTTTTACCAAAGAGCAAGTACAGATTAATTTTTGTTTAAAAAGAAAATGCAAGGTCGGAGGAAGCATCGAGCTCTTTCCTAAAACATCGCTACGGAGTCGGGCCAAGTCTTGACCTTGACCTGGCTCGTTTTGATGTTGCATCGCAGAGTGTCGCGTCACAAGAGCACGACGAACAAGTAGGTTTCAGATGATGGCAGTTGGCCCAAGTGGCAACTAGAATTGTCACCTCGTTCGGATGATGCAGGCAAAACGTCGGGGATGACAAAAGAAACTTGATGATCACTAAACAGGAAAGCCCCCGGAGCCCTTTGCCTCCGTGCATCCGTCATTGAATGGGTGGATATTTGGCGGGCGAATCGAACCAAGAGCCACTGGCGTGGAAAAAGTATTCTGCCGGGTTTTGGATAAGAATCAAGTCTTTTTGCTTCGGGGACACGCCAGCACTTGCCACGCTAGACCCCAAAAGCCAAGCATCCCTGGTCGGAGCGATTAGCCGGCGGAATTTTTCTTTTTGTGGGTGTGGATGATGAATGAATTCGACAATCCATTACGCCCCTTGCTCCGCATTTTGGAAAAGATGGCTGACCTTGAAAGTTTGTCAAGTTTTGTGAGGGGGCGAAAAGAGAAAGACCAATAAAAAACATGAAGAAACCAAAGGAAAAAAGGAAAGGGACAGGAAGACAAAAGAGGCCCACGTTTCTATCGTTCTGCAGTGCTCCCCTCCGGCTCCGGGTTTGGTTGTCATGACGTGATGAGAGGGGCTTGATCAATATGATCAATATGATACGCAAATCGAGGCCAAAGACTCACCAGGCATTTGAAGACGCGGTTTAAAAATGAACATGAGAAAAGAAAAACCCTCGTGCGGGACCCTACCAGGTGTAGTCCTGCGGACCCACGTGCAGTGGCCCTGTCGGCGATTCTTCATTTATCAAACATGCAGAGCAAGCTCCCAGCTGCAGGGAATCTAGAAGCTTGCTGCATAAGTGCGGGGAAAGAGGTGGCAGGCAAGAGCTGGGGAATGGAAGCAACGGAGCACGTCACAGCACACAGGACACAGCACACAACATATCGCACACGGCAACGCAGAGCTCGTCGAGGGGAAAGCAAAGGCAAAGCTGCCAACCAGATTGAGTTCGCAGTGGAGGTTTTTTTTTCAAGGCTTATCAGTCGGCAGCCCTTTTGATGCAGCCAGAAGCTCCGAGCGGAGTTCCGGTTGGGCAGACCAAGAAAAAGAAGAAAGAAAGAAAAATTGGCAGGGGACGGCGGTCCTGCCAAGCACCGACCTTGCCGAGCTCCAGCAGCAACGGTAGGCTACGGGTCGAGGCCGATCGACCCGGCACTCTGGATCTTGTGCTTGCCCTCTCCACCCGTCAGAGAGATATGGTCAAGAGTCTGTGTGGACGTGGGAAGAGGGCTATTAGCACATCCACACCGCGCATCTTGTCCCTCGTCGCTCTCTGCCAGACCTTGTACCCCACCCACACATCTTGCATTCTGGTGCATTTCTGTGGCCAGGTACATGGCATTTGACTCTCGCCTCGCCCGATCAGCCCCGCGCCGTCGATCGGGTGCCAAGTACAGAATTCTGACGAAAGAAAAAAAAAAAAAAAAAAGAAAGAAGGCCGCCAGAAGAAGGCAAGACGAAGCCGGAAAAGCTTATTTCCAGCCTCTTGAGCTTGTTTTTCTTCTTTCATTTGTCTTTTCTCTGCTTGGGCTTCATTGCATTCCCCCGTCATAGAGTCCACGTCCTTTGTCGAGTGATCTGCGGTGACATGCAGTATCTCTTAATCATCCCTCTGCCATCGATTACTCAACTGTAAACGGCGACCTACATCTCGGCTCCAAGCGCCGTAACGCCCTGAGCCCATTATGTTTTCCGAGGAGCCCCGTTGGTGGTTGGCGGTGGGGGATGAGCTCTTTTCATCCATCCAGAAAGTCTTGCCCATAGAAAGCTCCCACCCCATCTCCCTCGGATTGCACCACCCTTAGCTCCCATTGCACCATCGCGCTGATCTCCACATGTGGACCATTTGTACAAAGAGCCTTGCCTTTGAATCAGGCCCCCAAAAGCCCATCGCCTTTGGGGAGAGTGACCCGTCTCTCCGTTCTAGGCTTAGTGCATCACGCAGGGTTTGGAACCACAGCAGCCACGGAGGATTTGTCAAGCCGGGAAATGTTGAGAAACAACGTAAACCCGCATGCTGTACATGTAGCATCAAGGCAAGCAAGGAAGTTCAAGTCCGTTGATTACAAAACACAAAATCGAAATCGAAAGAAAAAAGGGGGATTTCAGACGAGTCAAAGACACTGCACTGAACAAGGGCTGGTCCGCCCCGGGTTCGGCCCCCTTCTCCCGGGAACCATGGGCAGGCTGGCGTGTCCAAGTCCCTCTTTTTCGTTTGGCTATATGTTGGGTAGGAACCAAGAAGTGAGAAGAAGATGAGGTCTGTGTCTCGAGTTCGTCTGAATGTGGGGAAACGTCTCGCGACCCTTTCCGCGCACCACAGACGACCGACGTGGAACTACCTACAAGGAGGGCAATAATAGCCTATGTTGGGTTCCCAAGCTATGCTAGAGAAAAGAATGAGAGAGCGTGTGCACGAGAGTATGAGAGGATAGGATCGGGCATAATGCCTGGTCCTTTCGCCGACAGTCGGGTATCGTAACACGTTGCCGACGATCAGTCTGCGCGCCGCATCGCCCATCGCCTGACAAAGTGCGGTCACTGGATGATCTCACGCACACACGCGCGCACACCCATCCACTAGATTATCGGTCGACCCCCAAAAAGACGGACGCATAGGAGCGAAACGCGACACGAATAAAAAGGGCCCAGTTCATCGGATATCGCGTCGTCAGTTCCCCTTGCCTTGCCATTCCAAAGAAATAAATAAAAACCAACCCACGCCGATCTACTCCGGCCGGTGAGACAGGCTGACTGCTCGGTGCCTTGGATCAGCAGCACACGTGGGCTCCGCCATTGTTCTCCGGAGTCATCCCTTCCAACTTTAGGCCAAGACAGCTCCTGATATCCCACGCGAAGCCACCTCCCTCTCAGCTCGTGCCTCCCTCCAGATGCGCACACCACCTATTTCGGACACCCAAGGCTGCTCTTCCCCGTCGCGAGTGACCCTCCCATATCTCGCGAGCTCCTTTGTTTTTCTACTCGTCCAGGGCCCCCTTAGCCACCCCCATCCAACCCGCATGGTAATTAATAAACCAAACAGGTCTATGATAAAGGAGAACATTGAACATTGGTGACAAAAAGTAGACTAGGCAGCCCCCAGCGGCGGCGGCGGCCAGGGTCCCTTTGAAGGAAGGGGGAGGAAGGGAGAAATGTCGGGTTTCGTGGGTGAGCCAGACGCGAGGAAAATGGTGGTACGAAGTAGTTGAGCCAGAGAGTGGGACCTGCCCCGATGGCGACATCGCGCCCCTCCCTGGACGTCATCCCGCCCCTTCCACCCCCAAACTGACGAGCCCTGACTCCGGGCACTACTGTCTTTCCCGAAGTCGCTTTTTTGCGCCATTTGGGTTATTAAAAGGAAATGGGAGGAAAAACAACGAGAGGGAAAAAAACGAGAAACTCTATTTTCTCATCATTGATGTTTACTATTCCCCCCAAATTGTTCCCTCTCTCGACAAGTACCTATTTTGTTATCAAACCGTGACAAGCGCGCAAAAACAAAGGGGGCGTGAGTGCAAGGAAGGAAAAAGACCGCACGGAAAGAGCGTCTCCATTCTACACTCCGGCCTGCCTGCCGGCCCCAGTCACCACCCCAGTCATCATCACAACCTCCACGCCAGTCGATTATAGCAAAGGTCTCCCTTTTCCTTCTTATATCGCTAGCTTCTCTACATCTTCTCTTTTCTTCATAGACCTGTCCACATTTACTCTCACTTAATTTTTTAAGACAAAGTGTGCTGCGATAGATCTCACTTACACGTTTGCTCCGGCTTATACACACACTGAGCTCACTCTCATCACGCTAACGAGGATTGTCAAAATTCCCGGGATTTTCCTTCACGTTCTATCCTTAGATCTTAGCCTCTTACTCTTACTCCTTTTTTACCAGCCGCTTGACGCCTAAGACGCGATTTCAAGCCCTGGACTTCCAACTGATCGATCTTTGCTTGCCACCGTACCCAACTCTGATCAGTAATCCTACCAGAGCCGAAACCCTCACCCCGTGGTAGGCACTGAGCCACATCTCACCCATACTATACCTTTCCGCTTCTTACCGAGACCACGAAACGGCCCCCAATGACCCCTCGAGAAGTTGTCTGAGTCTCTCTCTTTCTCGTCCGTTTACAATCTCCTCTCCAGTCCGTGAGCGGCTGGCGCTGGTACTTGCCCTCCCCTCCGCGGCACTCAGCTCACTCTCAACCCCCATCGCCCTCGCTCGCCAAACTCGCGATGACGAAGAAGATGGCGAAAGCGGGCCGCTTCCTGGCCAAGGCCCTCGGCATCAAGCTAGAGGACTCGCCCAACTTCCTCGTAGAGACCTTTCATAGCGAGGGATCCGAGTTCTCTGCCGAACACGACACATTTCTCGAAGAGTCACCCACCACCATAGAGTTTCTGAGGGACTTGGTTCCCTCGGGCAAAGCCCTCGCGGCGTACGGCAAGTCGCTGTTTCCGTGCATCAGCTGGTTGCCCTCGTATAATCTTCACTGGCTGGCCGGTGATGTAGTTGCAGGTTCGTTTTGATCCCTCCTCTTCCCCTGTGATGCAACGGGGGAAGCCTTTTGTCCGCATGATATTGACAAGAGTAATGTACTCTAGGTATCACCATCGGCGCCATTGTCGTGCCTCAAGGTATGGCGTATGCCATTCTAGCGAATCTCGAGCCCCAATACGGTTTATACTCGGCCTTTGTTGGTCCCGTCATATATTGGCTGTTTGCCACCTCCAAGGACATCACCATCGGCGTAAGTGAATAATAGCCGCTCGGGGGATACGCCTTTTTCGAGACGCTTTCGACTAACACAAAAGTAGCCCGTCGCCGTCATGTCCACCTTGGTTGGCAACGTCGTGAACGAGGTCAGGCTCGTCCATCCCGATTACCCCGCGCACGTCATCGCTTCCGCACTCTCCATAATCGCCGGCTGCATCATCACCGCCATCGGCCTCTTCCGCTGCGGCTGGATCGTCGACCTCATCTCCTCACCTCACTCTCAGCCTTCATGACGGGCTCTGCCATCACGATTGGCGTTGGACAACTCCCCTCCTTGATGGGCATCAAATCCGTCAATAGCAGAGAGGCCCCGTACTTGGTCTTCATCAACACCTGGAAGCACATTCGGGAATCGGGCCTCGATGCCGCCATGGGAATCAGCGCCCTGGTCATGCTGTACCTGATCAGATGGGTCTTCACCACCTGGGCTCACAAGGTACCGAAACACCAGCGCCTTCTCTTCTTCCTCAACACCCTACGCAGCGTCTTCGTCATCTTGCTATACACCCTGATTAGCTGGCTTGTCAACATGCACCGCAAGGATCACCCGGCCTTCAAGATTCTCGGCTCTGTTCCCAGAGGTAAGCATTTCCTTCCGTCCAAACTGATGATGCTTCGGGTCGAACTTTTGATCACTGACTCTTCCCTTTTTTCCCCTTCTTAGGTTTCCAGGCTGTCGGCGTTCCGGTAATCGACACAACTCTCATCGGCGCCTTCGCCAGGTTCCTTCCCGCCAGCGTCATCGTGCTCCTTGTCGAACACATTGCCATCTCCAAGTCCTTTGGTCGCCTCAACAACTACGTCATTGACCCGTCCCAGGAAATGGTAGCCATCGGCGTCAGCAATGTGCTTGGTCCCTTTTCGGAGCCTATCCCGCCACCGGCTCCTTTAGCCGTACAGCCATCAAGTCCAAGGCAGGCGTGCGCACCCCGGCCTCCGGCGTCATCACCGGCGCCGTCGTGCTCCTGGCCACCTACACCCTAACCTCGCTCTTCTTCTATATCCCGAGCGCGTCCTTGGCCGCTGTCATCATCCACGCCGTCGCGGATCTCGTCACCTCGCCCAACACTGTGTACCAGTTTTGGAAGGTGTCTCCCCTCGAGGTCCTCATCTTCTTTATCGGTGTTTTTGTCAGCGTCTTCTCCAACATTGAAAACGGCATCTACGCCACCGTGTGTATTTCGGCTGCCATCCTCTTCTTCCGCACTCTTAAGGCTAGGGGTTCCTTCCTTGGAAAAGTCCGTGTGCACTCCGTCCTCGGCGACCACATTATCGGCGAGGACCACCGCAAGGTCGTCGGCTCCTACGGCACATTCGGCAGCTCGGATCACGCCGTACGCAGCGTCTTCCTTCCCATCACGCACGACGACGGCCACAACCCCCAGATCGATATCCAGAACCCGTACCCGGGCATCTTCATCTATCGCTTCACCGAGGGGTTCAACTACCCCAACGCCAGCAATACCCTCGAGCACTTTCTCAAACACATCTTCACCCGAACCCGCCGCACCACCCCCTCAGCTACGAGCGGCTCGGCGACAGGCCCTGGAACGACCCTGGTCCTTCGCGCACCAAGAGAAAGGCGCAGAGGAACGGCGGTGACACGTTTGACGAGGAGGACGGCATGCCGACGCTGAAGGCCATCATTTTGGATTTCAGCTCCGTCAACCACGTCGACATCACCTCCGTGCAGCGCCTCATCGACGTCAGGAACCAGCTCGACCGGTATACCGCCCCTGAGACGGTGGACTGGCACTTTGCCTGCATCTCGAACCGCTGGACCAAGCGCGCCCTCGTCTCGGCCGGCTTCGGTTGCTGGAGGGGCGGGACCGAGGGGCGCGAGCACCAGTGGCGTTCCATTTTTAGCGTCGCCGAGATTGGCGTGATCAAGGAGGCGAACGGCGAAGATGACGAGGGCGGCGAGGTCGAGGCCGAGGGGGCGAGCGTAGTGACTCCGGTAACGAAAAGGACTGGTCTGGTGTATCGAGCCCTTCGTCGAGTCGGCGCAGCAGTGGTAGTGGGGCGCGGCGGCGGCGGCGGCGGCGGCGGACGGCGCGGGCGCCAGCGCTGTGGCCGAAAGGTGGGCGGCGTCACGCAAAGATTGCGACGCCGGGACAGGGCGTGAAGCGGAGGAGGCACTCCAAGACTAAGCGCAAGGGAGCTATTATCCAGGGTCTCAACCGGCCGCTGTTTCACGTGGATCTGACGAATGCTCTTCAAAGCGCCATTGCTAATGTCGAGGCGAGGCACGACATCGAGCATTCGGTGGGTGTTACAACGTCCACTGGGTCTTGATCTATCCTTGTCCCGTCCTTTTTTTTTGGGAGGGGCCCATCGCGGCTCTGTTTCTCTTCTTGTTTTCTTTCTTGCCAAGTTTTCAATGAAGTCTTGTATATACCCTGGCATTTTGGAGTTTTGCATTTACACATCATGACATGAAGCATCATACGGGGGCATATATCATACCATCTAGCATAGCATCCAGAGTAGTAAGGATATTTTCGCTATATCATCATCATCATCATCATCATTACCATCTATGAGGTTTTGCCATCTTCTGTGACATGGGCAGTCTCGTCACGCCCCTTTTCCGCTTTGATATATGTGTCTATCCATCTAGCCTCGGCGGCGAAGCGGAGGTATTCCGGGGCAATATGGGATGGCGGGTATGAGACCCACCCTCCATCATTTTCAATGTTGCTCGGACACCGCTACCGTAGCCTCAGAGATGTTGGACATTGCAGGTTTTCATGGGGTCGTTCTCGCTGTCGGGAAGCGAGGATGCAGGCAGAAAAATGTGCGTGAACGAGGGTGGAGTACAAAATTTGACGTAGAGAGGGTTTGTCTGTTACCCTTGCTTTGCACACCGCTCCTAGGTTTCGTTGCTGTCCCTTGAGACGAGATTGGACGGGTACCCTCTTCTCCAGAGTCATCTTCCGGCACACACGTTGAAGAAAGGGCCCGTCATGCAAGTAGGGTAGCTGTTTGGGGAAGGAAAAGGGAGGAGGGAGGAGGGATGTGAGGGCTTCGTCACGTTTCTTCGTCTTGCATACTTGCGGAAGTTGACGGGATGTACTCAAGGAGGTAGGGATACGTTTTTAGAGAGAGAGACGGAGACGGCGAGATGGAGGAAGCGAATGCAAGGTGTTGCTCGGAGGAGAGAGGCCGACGGCTGTCACCTTTAGGGCAAGGGGCCAATGCACGATGTAAGACGAAGAGCCGCTTTGATGCCGGCGAGGCTTCAAGCGAACACGACATCACGACGAGCACGATGGTTTGCTCGAGAAGGGCTGTTGTGCATGATGACTCCGTCCCCGTCTCTTCCCGAGTGTGAAGAGTGTTACCCACCCTCGTCTGGGGTGCATCAAGCATGGGGTCACAAGGCGATTCTTGATCTGGAGAGGTGCCTCGAAAAAAAAAAGACAATGGACGAATATTGCCGGGAAGAAGAATAGACAAAGGCGGGGGATGGGGTAGTATGAAGCTTCACGAAAGAAAGCGGATGCGGAATCTGGAGGGGAGTGTGCAGGCATGGCAAAACGCCCCTCCCAGCGGGGAATCTAGAGCTTTGGGGTCTAGGTATGGTGTGCCTCGTCTCTCACGATAGATCGCGCTTTTAGGAAAGATGCAGTGGTTATGCGTTTGGGAGAAGGAGGGGGGGAGAGAGAAGGAAACGAGGAGGAGCGCGTGACGGTTGAAAGGGGAGATCTAGCATGTGAGAGTGAGAGGGGGTAGGACATGAGCCCATCATGATCGCCTTCTCGGAGGTAATTCTCTTGCTTCTCCGTCTCCCTTTTCCTCTGGTGATGGATGGCGAAGAATGAGTCTTATTTGCTCCTCGCAGTCAGCGCGGACGATCAGGGTCTTTCGCGATCCGGGCGACGAGGCAAACGCGCACAAGTAAGAATTTCCCCAGACCGCCCAAGGCAACATCACCAGAAACGAGGATCTGCGGAGCTTGGGTAGTGGGAAAGGGGCTGCCCTTCCCCTCGTCGCTTCTCGAGACGCACAGCTTCACCCGACACTGCCTCTTGCCTTTGAGCTCGATCTTCTACGATGGAGAAAACGGCGAGTTTGTGAGAGAGTCGGGTTATGCTGGCTCTCCTCGCGCCCGAGAACCCCTTGCCTCCCTTCGAATATCGTGGAGATGTGCTTTGGAGCCGGGACGCGGAATTATGCCTCGTCAGCCAAATGGAAAAGGCTTCTTGCATAAATGTAGCCTTTGCATGACAAGGAGAGATGCGCAAGACCGCGTGACGGGGTTTATGGTCATCGTGGAGGGGAGAATAGGGCACCTCAGGTCTACGATTGCTAGCTAGTCTCTCTCTCTCTCTCTCTCTCTTTCTCTCTTTCTCTTCTTTGCCTTTGCGTTGCAAAGAAGATGCTTCGCGGCGTAGGCACACGCCTCCCTCTTTTCCATCTGCTCATCCTCGAAGGGCTCTCCCAGCCCCCTCGCCCTCCATCCCGTCGTTGAGGTAATGATCTCGGTCCGGACAGACGGAGATCCTCTCAACTTCACATGCTGCATGCCTCTTCTTCCAGGATGGAAAGAGAGCAGAATCCCGAGGAAGTGCGATGCATCTCACATGCTCGACTCCCTCCGTCTTTGGCGCCGACGGCGAGAAAAGAAAGACAGGGAAAAGAGGGCGTCAGTAGTTAAAACTTTCTCTCAGCCTCGGCGATCCGATCGGACAAGGTTCATGCAAAGCAGAGAGAATCGAGGATAGGTAAATCCAAACCAAAATAATAGAAGAAGAAAAAAGGTGAAGAGGGTATGGCGGGGAACGGCTCTAGCGGAACGCAGGAAATGGCGCCGGCTCATTTCCTGTATCCTCTCGCAAAGGTCCCCACGCCTTCGCCTCGCCCGGGTTCAGCGATCTGCATTTCAGCGATGCTACTCCAGGCCGAAGGAGAGGAAAGGGAAGGGAAGGGGGAGATAGCGATAGAGAAACGGAGAGGAGGCAAGAGGAAAGTGAAGCGGGTACCACTCGGAGAGTTTAATTTTCCCTTATTGCTTTTTTTCTCCTCCCTCCCTCCCTCTGTCACCGGCTCCTCTTTTGCAACGTCGGGTGAGGGTCGCTCCCGTTCCCTTCTCTGGGGTGTAGTAGTAGTAGCCTTTCGATAAATCAACCCATTCCCGGGGAGGATATGGGGTAACGCGGGAATCGGCAACTCAAAATAAATTCAAAAGAGAAGGGCGTGCGTCTGCGTATGCGCGATGTTGAGGCTAGAGGCAAGGAAGGGGGGAGGGAAGGCGGGGAAAGCTCCTTTGTCCGAGTGCTTGTCGCCTCGGCGAAGGGTTCTCTTCTGACACTATTTTGACATGTGCTCGTTGAGGCTTTTGGCGATAGTTAGCCCGCGCGCTATCCAAGGCCCTGGCATGACGTCTCCTGGCGCAAACGGCCCCCGGATTATGAGCTAGTTAGTTAACCCAACGGATAAGGGGAAAGAACGAAATCGTTGTTCACTTACCAAAAATTTCCAAGAGGACCGTCAACGGCTAAGCGGAACAGGCAAGAGATCGGCGTCGACTCGGGAATTCTAGGGCGTCCTCTCTCCTGGGGCGCGGCAGGCACCACTTGTGCATGAAGCTAGAGAGCTTCTTGTGCTGGTGGCTGTATCTATGTACGAACAAGTATTTGGGTCGATCTGGATGGTGTGGATATACGTCTGTGGATGTGCACGTACTTTGTGTGTGTGTGCAATATGTCTGTGTCTATGCGTGGTGTGGTGGGCAAGGGACGGCGGCGGGAGAGAAAGGGGGAAGGAAGCCAGAACTGGTGTGTGTGGGAAGGTGGTGTGGGGAAAAAAGGCACAAGGAGAATGAAGCCAAACGCACATCTCTTCTCCATTCTTCTTTTCCACTTTTCCCTCGATGAGGCAAGGCGGCGTCGTTCCCCGGTTTTCTGTGGGGTTTTCGTTCTCTGTTCTTGCATCGAGACTCTCTACAGTATCTCTGGTTTTTTCTTGTGTTGGAGCGATCCGGCGCCGTTCTGAATCCCCCCCCCTCCCATTCGAGTCGGCGCCATCATAGAAGGCTTGCGTTAGCGTCGACGCCTCTTGACCGTGAAGGGTAGCCTCCGCCGGGCGGCCGATCAAGAAGGGGTGCGCGCGGAGTCTCTTCATCTTCCCTCCAGCGCCGTCGATGCGGCTCCTCTTGTCGCTAAGTGGGGAGGGGAGAGGGGGTCCCTCGACTCCTTGCCTTCCACAGACCTTTTGCTTGGCTAGGCTCAAGTACGATTTGGCGTCATAATGCACGCGGTGAGCAAGCGATACTACATGTACGAGGACGCCAACGGCAGAGTAGAGTAGGGTCCCGAGACAATACGGCACCGAGAGACAGGACTTGAAAAATAAATCGCCCCTCCTGGTCCCCAAAAATCCGTACCTGCCTGCGGGGATGGTGCGAGGCTACTGCATGGAGAAGGAGAGACGAATAGTCCCAGGGATACAATGCAATGGTACGCTGCTCTGTCTCATCGACGAGCAATAAAAAAGGCAGGAATCCAAGATCCTGCGTCTCTAACCTCAATATGGGAATAGGACGAAGAGGAGGGCATGCGTGAGGCATCAAAATGGAGAAAGATAATGGCGATAGCAGAGGAAAGATCTGCGGAAGCACCAGCAAAGGCAGGTGATGCCAGGGCAGGTCACACCTCTGACCCATGCTATGCCCCAGATCGGTGAGCCTGGGTGTCCAGGAAGAGAATAGCTTTAGCATGGGCGCCCCACGGAGACAGATAACGTCGGACTTGCCAGGCTGTCAACCTGTACCCTGCGCAAATCCCCAAGGAGGCTCGACTCGCCAAGATGACTGACCTTCCTAACCGGATCTCGATTCGACTTGGAGGGGGATGCCTCAACACCATCGCTGGTAACATATTATGCCGACATGCTTGCTGCAGACAGCACATCGATGTCGATGAATGATGCATTATGCAAAACCCACGGCCACAGTCCAGTTTCCTCTCTATAGTCTCTCACCCTCTCGCTTCTTGCGACCGCCACAACTACCACTAGTCACTCATACCCTCCGAGTGTCAGGCCGAGCCACTGCACCTCCGCAAGGCTCGCCCCCTCCTTCTTCTCGGAATCGCGAATCAGCCGATGAGGGGCTTAAACCTCTATCCCTCAAACCAATCTTGATACTATTATTGTGTGTGAAAAATGGTATTGCTGAACAAGTGAAGAGGGAAGGGGGCAGGGGGTGAAAGAAGAACCGAGGCGAACGGGCCTTCCTGGAGTAGCGCCCCGGAGAAATTTTGATGACGCTGGAGCGAGGGAACAGCACGCTT